TCTGGTCTACCACTTAGAAATCTACAGACCGGCAAACGAAGGACACTCCCACTCCTCTAAAGAGATCCACCCCGCAATGGGGCCAGGGACTGGAAACAGATCGGCTGTCCCCTGGACAATCTGAGTCACACACATGTAGATGGCACAGTGAGGCCTCTTCTCAACACCAGGTCACAGCCCCTAGATGCATCACTGACTAGAGGTGACCATAGGCCGTCACAGACTGAAGTCTCTTGTTAGAATGTCACTGACCAAGATCACAAGGATAATGGCCACTGGGTTGAGTACAATGCCTCCCAGGTTCCCCTACAGTGGCCCACATGGGCCAAGATAGAAGATGCAACAGGTCTCTCTAAGTTCTGTCCAAATGCTTGTCTCTGCTGAAACAAATCAATGAGTTATCTCACCCCAGCATGAAAAGCAAAGTTTAAAAAAAAACAGAAAACAAATGCTGGTCCTGCCTTCATTGCTGATGGGACTGGAAAATGGGGCAACCACTGGGGAAAATGGTATGGTACTTTCTCAAAAAGTTTGAAATAGAAATATTACATGACTCAGCCATCCTAGGGAAGTAAAACCTACAACATGAACAGATACACGCACACACACTTCATCAAAGCAGTGTTCGCAATAGCATAAAGATGGAATCAACCTAAATATCCACCAAAGGAAGAACAGATGAGCACACTCTGCTACGTACACACAATGGAATACTACGCAACATTAAATAATGACAGTGAGTCTCAAAACAGCCCATAACATGGATGAACACGGACATGATGCTGCGTGAAATTAGTTAATCACAAAAGGACAGATATTTTATGAAACTGTTGTTGTTAAGTGCCATTAAGTTGATTCCGTCTCATAGAGACACTGTATAGGGTATCCATGGAGCAGCTGGTGGATTTGAACCGCCGACCTTGCAGTTCAAACCAACATTGTAGTCAAGTACTTATCCTGCAGGTGTCAAGAAAAGGTTTTCACACTAGAATATTCTTTGATTGTCACCAGGTGTGGGAGGAAAGGGGGAGTAATTCACTGGCTAGAGCACAGACACTTACTAACTTGGATGATGGGGAAGGCAAGATAGGGTAAGAGGACGGTTGGTGGAAAAATGATGGAAGAAGGGGAAGTCACAGGGAGGAATGCAAGAATTAAAGGCAACAGGTAAACACGGTTCTGTACACAATCCTGCAGTCACATGATCCATGAGTAGACACGTGGCTAAATACGCAAGGCTGCGTGGGTGTGGGAAAGAGAGAGGGAGGAAACCCGCAAATACATAAAGGCCTGACAGAGGGTACTGGCATATGAATGTGGTGGAGCATACAGGGGGCAAAGTTAGGAAACCTTCTTAGACATAACCGGACACTGTGAGGAAATGAGCTCCAGGCTTGGGGGGGCTCAGGACCACAGTCTCAGGGGACACCGTGGTCCAACGGCACAACCAAGTCCACAAAGACAATGTTCTTCATCATACTTGGATGAGGAGTGACTAAGCAGCCACTTAAGGCACAACCATTGGTCCCTCCCCGTATGAAGGAAGTAAGAGTGGTGAAAATTGAAGACGCTTGGAAACAATTAGTCCAATGGATGAATGGACCACGTGACCATCAGTCTCCACAACCCTGAGACCAGAAGACCTAGATGGTGCCTGGCTATTTCTACCAACCACTCAGACAGGGATCACATTAGCAGGTCCTGGAGAGAGTGGGAGAAAATGGAAAATCATCAAAAAGACTAAGCTTACTGGTCAAATAGAGTCTGGTGGGGCCTGAGACTAAGGCTCTGGATCACCCTTCAGGTCTGGAACTGAACTCACCTCTGTGGTTCAATTTTCAGTCAAGTGATGGGTGTACAGGGGGTATCAACACTAGTGAGGTACAGAGCCTGAGAATGATGGGTGTACAGGGAGTATCAACACTAGTGAGGTACAGAGCCTGAGAATGATGGGTGTACAGGGAGTATCAACACTAGTGAGGTACAGAGCCTGAGAATGATGGGTGTACAGGGAGTATCAACACTAGTGAGGTACACAGAGCATGAAAATGATCAGCTCTATGAGGGCAGCATTTCCCCAAGGACAAAGTTCAGAAGGGCTGGGAGACAGAGAAGAATGGCAAGAAGCTCAGGGATGAAGTGGGATAGATGATGTTACATAGCTGTTGTGGTTGTTAGGCACCATTGATGTTAGTTACACGCAGGGGACTGTAATCCTTGAGATGAAATGTACGATTTGTTGAATGCAAAACTGATGATCTGCTCTGTAAACCTTCAGTCAAGTCACAATAAAGTTTTTTAAAAAAGGAAAAAATGCCCGCCTCTCCCATTCACACCTGCCCTTCCACATGGCAGTCTAGGTTAGAGTAAGGGATGACCAGAGGAACCATGAAATCATAGGGACCGAGCTATGACAGCTGGGGAGGGCGCACCTCAGACCTGAGAGGGGCTGCGCAAGAGGGAGGTGGGGGGACCTGGGGACAATGAGTGCTCTTTGTCCCTTTAGATTTCTGTACAGCAACCTGGTCAAACAAGCCCAGGGCCCTCATGTGTCATCAGTGTGCAAAGAGGTCAGTACAAGCTTTTCAACCTCAAAAAGAAATTCATCTACGTCTCCTGATGCGGCAAGCAGTGGGTCATGCCAGCGAGGGTGACTGAAGCTGCCATTCTTCGGCAGCGCTGCCCTCATGGCCCAACCACAGAGGAATGGTCAGCCAAATCCGGTGAAACACCCAGTCTTCAACAGGAGTGACCGGTCCCTTTGGTTTTCCATGTTTGTATGTGAAAGACACAACAGGGATGTGAAAATCTCTCCATTGGGGATGAGGCCTGCTCTTTGGGTCTCTCTACTGCTTCCTATCATTATTGGCAAAGACACCAAAAACGAGTAGGTCAGCCTAGCTCTCTTGTGTATGTGGCAATGGGTAACAGATTGGTTATTAGAGTCTATCCAGACAGCTGACAATCAGGAGTCCCTGGATGCTGCAAATGAGGAAAACATTCACTGCTAACCAACAGGTTACAAATTTGACACCATCCAGAGGTGCTGGAAGGCCTGGAGAACTACATCCGAAAAAGCAACCACTGAAAACCCCATGGAGCACAGGTCTACTCTGACACACATGGGTGGTCGTGATTTCATAGTGTCTGGTTTGATTTGGGGGTGGGGGGCATTTAAAATAAGATCTACTGATCCCCTAGGAGCCCGAGGCTCCTGAGGGCATAGCTGAAGTTTATTCCACAGGCAGGGCTCTCTTGCTGCATGGAGCCCTGTGGCTATAGCCTTAATTAAGTGCAGTATGAAACCAATTGAACGGATTTGGTCCTAGCCTCCACCAGTTAGACTCCTCAGGCTGACCAGCACAGCATACTCAAATGAAAACAGTAGTTAAGCCAAGGATCATGGGGCGGACTGTTGGGGGAGGTCATCTGCCAGGAGCCTGAACACTCCCCTGTGTCCCTGATAGGTGGGCCAACAATGCAAGGCCTGAGCAACCTTACTGGGTCATTTCTAAGATGGGGTTTGCAGAGGGCAGCCTGTAGCATGTCCCCTGTGACAAAGAGCAGGCACAAGTTGTGCTCGGACACATGGTGACCCCATGCTCGATGCACCAAGATGCTGCCTGCTTCTGCACTCTCCCCACGGTCCGCTGTGGTTCAGATGGTTGTGATTTTTTTTTTTTTTTTATGTAATCAACACATTTCTTTACATACTCATGATCTGATTCTTCAAACTGTCTTTTAAAACACTAAACTTGACAGTTTTTGAAATGGTTGTTTTAACTTTCATTGGCTGATTTTTGAAAGCGGATCACTAGGTCTTTGTTCCTAGTCTTAAGTCTGGCAGCTTTGCTAAAACCTGCTCAGCATCGTAGCAACAGGTAAGCCTCCAGCGACACAGGGGCCCACAAGGAATCGAACCAGGTCTCCCACATGGAAGGCTAGAAGTCTGCAATGGGACCACCACTGTCCTCATACCACTCATGATAAGAAGCAGCGTTTCCAGTGATCCTCAGCTGCAATGCAGAACTACAGGAGCTGGACCCCTCCGTGTTGGTCCGGGGGGGGCATGGAAGACAAGGGGAACCAACACCACCATGCTGACATCCTGCTACTACTTTTACAACAACAAAGTTATGTTTTATCATCTTCAATCAGCATCCATGAACAGGAACAAGCTAGCTTGTTACAACACAAAAAAGACCTTGCCATCCAATAAGGAAGATCATAGAAGAACTGACGCTTTTGAGTTATGGTATTGGAGAATATTGAAAGTGCCACGGGCTGCCAAAAGGACAGATAGATCTGAGTTGGAAGAAGTGCAGCCAGAGTGCTCCTTGGAAGCCAAGATGACCAAACTTCGTCTCTCATACTTCGGACATATTGTCAGGACATGATGTTTGGTAAGGTGGAGGGTCAGAGGAAGACCCCCAACGAGATGGATTGGCCAAGTGGCAGCATCAATGGACTCAAGTGTGGCAAAAGTAGTGAAGTTGGCCAAGGATCCGGCAGTGTTTTTCGTTCTGTGCATAAGGTCACTGAGTCGGTCCCGACTCGATGGCACCTAACAACAACAATCCCTCCCTAGGCCAGACCAGCTCTCTCACTGTCCACGCAGCCCTTCCTTCCTGGCCTTACAACTGATTGCTCCAGCCTCTACAATGTGTCCCCATCTGTCATCCCAACCTGTAAGCTCCAGGGCTCAGTACCCACCTCAGCTCCTGGACCAAGGGCATGTGCGGGAATGGGGACAGAACCAGGCCGGGCTCAGAGGCGCAAAGACAGGGAAGAGTGTGGCCTGAGCTCCCAGCAACCTTGATGATCCCCCAAGGTCGGGGGCCTGTTGGGTACTGGGATGGACAGAGGCGAAGGATGAGCTAAGGCCGAAAGTCCCACTGCATGTGTGGTGGGTCCTGGACCCAGGCCCGTCCTGCTCCAAATCCAATGCCCCAGTGCTACCCAAGCACGCCCAGTAGACATGGCCGGGTCCCACCACTCACCTCTGTGTGGTCTACTTTAAATGGGTTCTGGAAGTCGGAATCTTTCTCGCTGATCCCCAGCTCCTGCGCCATCTGTGGATGAAGAAAGCTGGTCACGGCTGCCCCTGCTCACCATTCCCTCCATGCCGGGACCCTGCTCGAGGCTTGTGGGCCAGGTGATGACCCCTGGGGACCCAGGTCAGCTCAATCCCTTGAGATGGGGCCTCTGTAACCAGGGTGCCCTGCGGCTGACCACAGAGAAGCAGCGAGGTAACACTGAGCCAATGTCAGGCTCAGGGCTCTCTAGTTTCTCGGCCGTGTACTCACGAGGCCAAGGATGGGCGAGTGGGGTCCCTGGTCAAAGACGCCTGTTTGGTTGCAGAAGCTGATGCCCCAGCGGATAAGGAGGTTCCAGTTGGAGTTGTGGTCGAAGTAATGGTGCACGATCCTGGGGAAGCGCAGTACCACGTCGCCGAAGAAGGCTGTGTTCTCCAACACGTGTGAAAAGGCTGGGCGACAGAACCCAGGAGTGACCAGGGCTGCTGCTGCTGCCCCTGCTGCCCACCCGTCCGGACCTGGTCACCCTCCAAAGGATGGAGGCATCCCCCTTTGCTTCCGCCCAACCACTAATCAGAGCAGGGGCCAGGGCCCGCTGGTCACACGGGTTTTCTGACCACCTGCTCAGAGTCCCATATACCACACAGAGTGGGAGATATGGCCACTGTTCCTATTTTACAGATGGGAAAGTAAGGCTCAGGCAGCAAGCAAGGAAGGGGCAAATTTGGGCTGAAAACCCAGGTCCGTCTGATTCCCAGCCCCACACCCACTCTCCAGTGTCTCTGTTCAGTGGACTAAGCAGAGTGGGGTCCAGAGGGTGGACGTCACTTCACATAGGAAGGCTGGTGCTTCACACGCTAGACTCCACTGGACCTGGTTCCCCCAACGCATGGCCAAGTATCTAGATCCAGACACAGCTGTTCAAACAAGTACCGTTACCTGTGAGGCTAGGTCTGTTAGAACAGCAGGGAACAGATTTTTTTTTTTAATATTCTTCCAATTCTATTTTATTTTAAATGCCGCTTAACTTTTCATTTTGCAATCACTTTAGAACTTACAAAAAGTCGCTACTCAAAGTTCCTATGTATCCTTCACCTGATTTCCTCTCATTAGCTTATATAACCATCGTTCTGGTGTGGTGCTGTGATAAGCACTTGACCGCAAGGCCGGCAGTTTAAACATACCAGCTACTCCTCGAAAATCCTATAGACAGGGCTGCTGTGAGTTAGAATCGGTTCAATGGCACATAACAACAGCCTAACCGTCCTATAAAGATCTAAACCAGGAAACCAATGTGGACACAGTGTTAGTAACTCATCTCCAGGTCTCACCGTATATCCAGCTGTCCACTAACGTCCTTTCTCTGGTCAATAAGGCAGTTTAGACTGAAATCAGTTAGCATGTCCATCACAGTGGCAGGTCACCCAGACCCAGGTCATGAAGAACAACTCCATACTGGCCCCTGGAGGCAGTTCCTGTTCCAACCAGCCCTGTATACCTTCACCAGCATGGGCCAGGGCCACCCTGAGAAAGTGCATGCCGCCTCCAAAGACACACCAGGCAGGGTGGTTAGACAGGCGGGCAGGAACCCTTGGCTTTGGAATCAGCTTGAATTTCAAAGGTGCACAGGGAAAAGCCAGAGCTCTGGAGCTGCACAGGCAATCACCAGGCAATTCATAGTCCTCCGTCCCCTGTACACGTGTCTGTCCTTCCTCAGTTACAGCGGACGTTAGAACTAACCTTGTGATGTGCCCACACTCAATAGATAAGGGCGACTTCCCTCCTCTACCACACAGGGGAGCCAGTTAACAGGGGCAGGGGTGTTGGGGAGAGGGCTGTTGTGATGTGCCGTGGAGTCGGTTCCGACTCATAACGACCCTGTACAGGGTTTCCGAGGCTGTAAATCTTTAGGGGAGCAGAAAGCCTCATCTTTCTCCCGCGGAACAGCTGGTAGTTTCGAACTGCTGACCTTAAGGTTCACAGTCCGATTCATAACCACTAGGCTAGCAGAGGGAGGGCTTGTTGTTGTCAGGTGCCATCGAGTTGGAACCAACTCATAGTGACCCCATGCACAGCAGAACAAAACAATGTCCGATCCCAGGCCAACCTCACTACCGCTGCCACACTTGACGCCATGATGCCACCTGGCCTATCCATCTCATTGGGGGTCTTCAGGGGAGTATAAATGGCCACAAGGGAGGAGTCCTTAGAAAGGAGGAGGAGTCCTCAGAAAAGAGGAGGAGCCCTCAGAAAGGGGAGGAGTCCTCAGAAAAGGGAGCAGAGGGACACTGAACACTGACTCTCTCATCTCCCTTGGGTGGTGTTCCCACCCTAGCTCAAAAGGATTCAAAGTGGGGGGAGGCTTTTAAAGGAGTTCCTGGGTAGTGTGGCACCTGACTAGCAGCCAAAAGGGTAGCAGTTCTAACCCACCCAGCGGCACCTCAGAAGAAAGACCTGAGGCTTTGCTTCTGAAAGCACAGTTCTACTCTGCGTTGGAAGTCATCAGGTTTGGAGTTTGTTTGGGTTTTATGTGGACTTAGGAGTCCTGGTGTGGCCCTGTGGGCTAATGCATCAAACTACAAAGTCGTTTGAACCTCAAGGTTGGTGGTTCAAGCTCACCAGCAGCTCCTTGGAAACCCTATGCTGTTGTTATGTGCCATCGAGTCGGTTCCGACCCATAGCGACCCTGTATAGGGTTTCCGAGGGTGTAAATCTTTACGGGAGTAGAAAGCCTCATCTTTCTCCCGCGGAGCAGCTGGTAGTTTCGAACCGCTGACCTTAAGGTTCGCAGCCCGATTCGTAACCATTACACTACCAGAGCTCCTTTTGGAAACCCTATACAGGGTCGTTATGGGTCAGAATCGACTCGATGGCACTTAACAACAACAACAACAACAACAAGGTCAGCAAGGAACCCTGGTGGCTCTGCAGGGTAAGCACTAGACTGCTAATGGCAAGGTCAGCAGTTCAAACCCACCAGCTACTCCTCGGAAAGCCTATACAGAGTCACTATAAGTCGGAATGGTGTCTTTGTCAGGACAATAGTACAAGGGGCTGGAAACTGCCCCTGCTGGCTCAACTATTGTCACAGGCCTCAGTCTTTTTACCTTTAAATGGGAACAACATTTCTCTACCAGAGAGGCAGTGGGCAGACCTCCTCCCTGGTCTCGTGCCCCAATGCACAGGGCAACACAAAGACACACGGCTCATCAGGAGCAAGATTCTGGCTCTGAGGCTAAGAAATGCTGGGAGAATCCCAGGAAACATGCCCAGTGCCTGAGAAGCCCACGTGGACAGTGGCATGAAAGGGTAGAGAAAAGCAAGGTGGAGTGCAGCTGATGAAGGTGCAGGTGCCGAGGGAAGGCTGGGGCTGGGAAGACCTACCATCCTTCAGCTTCTCATCCTGGGGGAAGGGTCCCTCCGGGAGCACGTCGGCAGCAATGAGCACTGTCCGGGAGTCCTCCAGCACCTGGGGGTACCGTCCTAGGCTGAGCATTCTGCAGGGCCCTGCACAGGGCCTGGTACACCCACCCACTTTAGCCCATTGGCTCCTATGTGCAGGTAGATCCCCCACTCTCTGCATGCCATCACCCCAGAGAACCACTGGGCATCCTTCAGGGCCCACATCAAAGAGCACTGGTGCTGCCCACCCCAAAAGGCCATGAGCTGCCCCTGGCCCTCTCCCACCTTAAAGAGCCCTTTGAGCATGACATCAAGGATCTTGTACTGCTGATGGATGTCGTCCAGCTGCGCCAGGTTCTTCAGCGCCAGCAGCTGCTCCCGGCGCTTCACCTCAAACATCTTTTTGTCTGGGCAGCAGTAAGTTAATGGTCTCCACCAAAACTCTGGCCTAGATAGGGCCAGTGGTCTCCAAACCCACCCTAGATATTCCAGAAGGGCCATGGATGCCATTTGGCTGGGACCTCAAGGAAGCTGACCGAGGAGGACACATATACTGGAATGTGTCGTTGGTCCTGTTCACAGGGGACTCCACAGCCAACAGCCTGAACCCAAGCCTCCAGGGCCTGGCTTCTGCCTCCCCATCCTCCCGGTCCTCCTGCCATCCCCAACAACCATAGGGCCTCTGCTCATAGGGCCTTGGTCTGGGTGCCCCACTCTAATCTCAATGAGCACCCATTCTTTCAAGACCTGGCTGAAAAGTCAGAGCTAAGTGTCCCCTCGGTGCCCCCTTGCCAACAACCTGTGCCCCATCTGGTCACAGACGGCAGGGATGATATGTGTGCAGACTTCTGCCCCCTGGCCTGTAACCTCCTAAGTCATCTGTGTCCCCAAAGCTAGACCTTGAGGAGGTGGTCCAGGACACCAGGGCCAAGACAGGCCAGTAATACAGAGTCCCCACTCAGAGTCTCACCCAGGGGCCAACAATCCTCAGTCCTGTAAGCCATGTACTGTTTTTCCTGCTTAACATGAGGAAAATGCGGCTCAGAAATGCACTGACTTCCTCAGGGCTGGCTAGAGCACCTTACTTTTCCTTCCTGCTTCCCTGGGCTGAGCCTGCTCCATCCAGGGACTCCCCCAAGGGGTTGTAGGTATGGACAGACCCCTCAGACACCCCACTCTCAACTCGGAAGGATACAGATCTCCAAGCTTGGGTGAAGGGAGGTCCTCAGGGTTCCTGTGGCTCCTACCCCAGAGAGTCCCATGGCAAAGAGGAACCCCAGAAACTGACGAAGGTCCATATCCTGGAGCCAGGCAACCACGGAGTAACGCAGAGAAAGTGGGGGCGAGTCAGAGCTGGGTGCTATCAAGACAGAGAATGCAGGTTATCAGTAACTTCTCTAGGTGGGGCCCGAGCCCAGACTCAGCCTTGGGGAGGCCTGAAGTCCCAACCCCTAGCCCTGTGACCAGCAGGCACACGATAAAGCTGGTGGATGGTAGGAGGGAGGGGGTCAGATAAAGGACAGAAACACGGACATACTTAGAGCACAGGAATCAGCCTCTAAGAAGAGCACTGGCCTGACCGACTGTGGGACCTTGAGCAAGTTGCTCAGCCTCTCTGAGCTGCAGCTCCCTGCCCTGTAAAATGAGGATCAAAGTATTTGACTTTGGTGCTGGCAAAGAATATGGGAAACACTGGGACTGCCAGAAGAACAAACAAATCTGTCTTGTAAGCGGCACCACCAGAACGCTCCTTAGAAGCCTTTCATACTTGGGCCATGTTGTCAGGTAGGAGCAGTCCTTGGAGGAGGACAGCCTGCTTGGAAAAGTGGAGAGTCAGCGAAAAAGAGGAAGACCCCAACAAGGTGGATTGGTACAGTAGCAACAACAATGGGAGCAAACAAAACTGTGAGGACGGCGCAGGACTGGAGTGCTGCTTCCGTTGTGCATAAGGTCACTAGGAGTCAAAACCAATTTGACAGCACCTAACAACTGGTGTGGCGCTGTGGGTTAATGCGTCAGACTGCAAAGCCGTTTGAACTGCAAGGTCAGGGTTCAAGCTCGCCAGCTGCTTCCTCGGAAACACTAAACACAGTCGCTATGAGTCAGAATCAACTCAACAGTGCTTAACAACAACAACAACAACAAACAACAACAAAGGAGCTCTGGTAGTGTAGTAGTTACAAATCGGGCTGTGAACCGCAAGTTCAGCAGTTCAAAACTACCAGCTGCTCCGCAGGAGAAAGATGAGGCTTTCTGCTCCCGTAAAGGTTTATAGCCTCAGAGACCCTGTACAGGGTCGCTATGAGTCAGAATGAACTCCACGGCACATAACAACAACAAAATGAGAAAAAGCAGAACATAGGGCAGGAGAACTGGGTGGTGCACTGTGCCCAGGGACACGGGATGGTGGGTAGCATTCCCCATCAGCCATCCTGGCCTCCCAGGGTGGTATTTGGTCAAGGAAACCCAGGCCAGTCAGAGAGGATATGGAACTTCTGGATTTTCTCTCCTTCTCTGACTTGTCATCAGAAAGGAAGACGTGCCTTCGGGGCAGGAAGGGATACAGGAAAGTTTTGGGGCAAGGAGGTGGCCACTGAACACTGTGCAGCACCTGCTCCTTTCAGACAAGACTCCACAGTTACTGAGCACCTGCTACATTCTAGGGACTGCCACTGGGGACACACCAACAAAAACACCCACACTAATGACCCTCATGTTCCCGCAGGGACAAGAGAACTCAATAAACTTATAAACAAAGATGGAAGGAGAGGGGGTTGGTGAGCTGTGATGGTAAGCACAATTGTCAGGGAAGCATTCCACCTAGGTGACAGCTGCCCAACTTTACCATTGTGGCAACCAAGGCCAGCAACGTGAGGTAACTATCCCCAGGGCACACAGTCATTCACAGCTGACCCAGTCTATTTTACACTAATCTCACTGCTCAGCTAACGACGATCTCTTTTTAAATAAGCACAGGTTGCCTCAGCGTTGACCACTGTTCTACCAGGACCCCGCCTTAGAGGGGAGAGCCTGTTACAGTGACAGCTAAAAGGGGCACAAAGCTCACCCCACCTGCTCCTCCAGACAACTAAAGTCCAGAGAAAAGGCAGAAGTCCAAAATCATGCAGAACATCCCCTCCAGCCCCATTTTCCACTTCACACGCCAGACCCAAGGGAGCAGACACAGGCTGGGATGGAGCCCGGAGGCCGGGAGCCGGCAACGATCGAAGCAGGGGGAGGCATGGGAAAGGCAATCCGCAAACGGGGAGCAGAGGCTGCCTTCCCCACGGTTACTCCCACTTCTCCATCCTGCTCCGGGCCCCAGAGCGCTTCCCCACGCGGCGGGAGACTTGGAGCCCACTCTACGGGAGGAAGAAGCGCGGCTCAAGGCGTCCGCAGGTCCTCCTCACCCGGGCTGCTGTCCCCAGGTTTCGTGGCTCCCGGAGGGGACAATCTTTCCAATGGGGACCCCGGGCCGCGTGTCCACGCCCACCCCCTGCAGTGCGCTCGACCCCGGGCCTCCACCCCTGGGCGTCCTGCCGCCACCTACCGGCCCGGGCGGTGCGGAAAGGGACGGCGAGCAGCCCCCGGGCGCAGGACTAGGGACGCCGACAGATGCGCAGACACAAACCGGGAGCACAGCTAGCTCGCAGCCCAGACCGCCGCACGCCGCGTTGCCCCGCCCCAACCAATGAGTGCCGGCCGCGATCGCCGCGCTCTCTGACCTCACTTCCGGCCCCGCCCCGCCGCGCAGTCTCGGGGAGCTTCCCATCCGCTTTGCACCTGGGTTCTCACTGCGCCCCGTTAACGTCGGACCGGGCGCCGTCTGCATGCGGAGCGTGTCCTATCAAAGGGCGCGTCAGCAAACAGGGGTTCTGGCCCTGCCGGCGGGCTGCAGTCCTCGCAGCCTCCCGGACCTGTTTCATCAACCGTGTGCTTTAAGCAGCATTTTGTCAGATCAAATCAGCAGTTTTGAAACTTTTTGAGCTGGAAGGGACCGCGGGGCAGAATCTGGGGGGTTAAAAGTCCCCAGCAGGAGGGGAACAGCCTCGCCCAACAAGGGCCTCATTGGGCTGGAGGAAAACCGGGCCGAGCTCGAACCAGAGTGGTCACAGAACAGACACACATGGAATGGAATAAGCAACTGCACACGTGGATTGCTAAATGTCAACTCTGGGGAGGGCCCTGAGGGGTAGGGCAAAGGAGAACAGAAGGGACCTCTCTTAGCCAGGGAAGGGCCAATGCAGGGCAGTTTTGCTGATCTGGATAGACTGAGAAAGGTTTGACCTGGCTCTGCTTCTTGTCTGGAACTTGTACCTCTCTTCACAGTGTAAGTCATTACGCTCCTTAGAAGCGAAGATGGTGAAACTTTGTCTCATATACTTTGGACATGTCACCAAGAGGGACCTATCCCTGGAGAAGTAATAGTTGTTTAGTGCCAGTTCAGTTGGTTATGACTCAATAGCGACCTTGTGTAGGGTTTCAAGGAATGACTAGTGGGTTTGAACTGCAGACCTTGCAGTTAGCAGTCCAGTGCTTATCGTATAGTGCCACACTGGTGAAAAAGAGCAACACCCTCAATGCGATGGGTTGACATCATTGCTGTAACAGTGGACTCAGACATGGCAACGACTGTGAGGATGGCAGGAACAGGTGCGCAGTGTTTCATTCTGCGTATGTGTGGTTGCTATAAGTCAGAACAGACTCCATGACACCTAACAGCTTCACCTCCATGTGAGGTGAAGCCACAAGTAAAGTACCCTCTTGTAGCTAATGGTCACACAGTCCCCAACTGCAAGGACCACTCTGCCCTTCCAGGCTCAGGAACAAGGACAGCCTGGCTGATGATCTCTGGGAACAAGGGAAGCGCTCAGCTGGTGTTCCTCACACATTAGAACATTACCCCTCACCCCAAGGAGTCCATTCCTCCATTCCTTGCTGGAAACATTTGCTGTCCAGCTGGTTACGGAACCAGCTCAAGGCAGACAAGACTCAAGTGAGATATTTGGGAAAGCTCTGGTAGCGTGTAGTGGTTACGAATCAGGCTGCGAACTTCAAGGTCAGCAATTCGAAACTACCAGCTGTTCCGTGGGAGAAAGACGATTTCTGCTCCCATAAAGATTTACAGCCTCGGAAACCCTGTACGGTCACCATGAGTCGGAACCGACTCCACGGCATATATCCACCACCACCACACAAAGAGGCATGTGAGAGTATCTGTATTTCCCGATTCCATTTCAACAGAATAACAGTTCAGCAAATGAAGGCGGTAGCTGCCATCCAGTCTTCAGTAACTGCGCCCTGTCTCCAGGTCTCCATTTCTGAGCCTTCAAGTCCTGAGGGTCAGTCTCTGATGTGGGACAGGGATACGGCCACCCCTCCCAGGCAGCTAGCAGCAACACATGAAAGGAGAACAACAGATGGCCCTGCCCAGCTATGTGGGAACACATTTCCAGAACCCATAGGTCAAGAAAGGTCAAACAAGAACAGACGCACTCCTAACCATGGGGCAGATTCTAAAACTGGAGCTGAACATCTAGGCTGGAGAGGCCCTGGACAACAGAGACTGTACCCAGCGAGGAGAGGGGGGTGGAGGGGAAGGAAAGAAACACCACTGACTCCTCCTCGGAGCTGGGCCATAGTACCTCTGGAACACTAGTCACCCCCAAGCGGCTGCTTTCCCAGGGACAGGCCGGCTTCCCCAGGTATGGAGCTGAGGAAGCACCTAGGCAAGTCTCTCCACAGCCCGTGGGGATGGCCAGGCTCCATCCTGCATGTGCAGATGTGACTTTGGAGACAGGAAATCGGGGATCAAATTCTGACGTTACCACTTATTAGCTGTGACCCTGGGGGCCCTCCTCTAGGAAAGTGGGGAGAAGTCAGAGTAGCAGATGCACATATAGTATCCATACCAGTCCAGGTGCTATGGGGAGCTCTTTACACATATGAACTCACGCAGCCCTCACCTAACCTAATGGGAGGCAGTCATTGTACCTACACTTCTCCCATCCCCCCTCATTCTCCCCCTACTGCTATGGCTACTGGGAGGGCTGGGTCCTCGGGAGGCGCTTGACCAACAGAACACATAAGTATTATTGCTGCCCTGTTAATGTCCCTCACTGACCACTTCTTGTTTCAAGACAAGGTGGAAACTGCACCTCTCTAACCTGAAGATCTCCAAGGGCAGGGGTTCGAGTCCCTCATGATGCCATAGCCGGCTCAAGACTCCCTAATGTAGAAAAGGATACAGCATGTCCTGCGGGGGTGGCGGGGCCCAGGAAGCCTGGGGCAGAAGGCCCTCCAAAGATGTCTGCAAAGTTTGGGCTGTGCTGGGGTCAACCAGGAGGCCCGTGTGCTGGACCTGAAGGGTGAGAGGGTGAGGACCAGGCCTGCCCGGTGGCACCACCCCACACAAGCCCTCTGACTTCCCTACCCCAGAGGCCAACATGGACGCCTGCTTCCTGAACTCCTGGCACCCCATAGGCTGCGATGATCAGAGCAGCCACAGAGACTCTGCTGCGCCCCCTCCCCACCCACCTGCAGGAAAAAGGCATGCAGCGCCTGGACTGTGGTGCTTGAGAGCGTGGACATGTCTGCCAAAGCCGCGGCTTGGAGGACATGACCCACTTCTTCCTGCGAGAGGATGGTGCTGCTCTGGAACCGCACAAACTGGCCCAGAAAAAAAAAGAGAGTCCCACACCCAGTGGTCTGACATTGCTCCTACCCACAGGCTTGTCCCGGTGGGAGAGAGCCCACACCCAGTGAGCCAGCATCACTCCCATGCCATGGCAGCACTGGGTAAGGAACACAGAACTGAAGCCCACAAGGACCTCAGTCTTCCAGGTGTGAGGTCAATGAGGCAGACCTTCAAGAGCTGGCTCCTGATGGCCCCTTCAGCCTGGAAGCCAACCCCCTCACACTCCAGGCCAAAATAAACTGTGTTTGGTCCCTAACACAGCAGTATGTGCTTTTGGACCTGCTCTATTCATCACCTGGAAACCTTTCCTTCTCTCTGTCTATTTGTGTTCCAAGCCTCACCTAAAACATGACTTCACTGCTGAAATTCTTTGGTTTTATTAAGAAACCTAGACACTTGTTGAATGTCTATGACACTCTTATTTGTACCTCTCTCCTGGCCTGGGCACAGACGATGACCCTTTCTCTGTGTGTTCGCACCAACCACCAATGCATCCTCACTGACTCCTTCATTCTTATTCACGGGGCACTTCTGGATGCCAGGCACTTTGTGTATCCTCTACTCCACTAGTGACATCATCGTGTCTTCGTGTATCCTCGACTCCACCAGTGATGTCATCGTGTTTTGACTATTAGCCTACTTGCTATCTGTCTCCTTCCCTAGACTGAGGGAGGCTTAAGAGCAGAGAGTACATGGTTCCCCGATGTCTCTGTTCTTCACCGAGGACCTAGCACAAGGCAGGCAGGCCTTGGTCAACACTTCATGACTGAGTGAGCAAGAGGATGACTTCAGGGTCTCTTGGGGTCCTACAGATATGGGCATTTAGGCATGTTCTCAGAGCAGGCCTCTTGGCTCATCTGCCTTCTCTGAGAAGGATGATCACCTAAGGTAACAGTGTCCCTGGCCTTCTCAGGACCACTCACCTCATGTTTTTCAGGCTACAAGACCACCATTTCTGCACTTACCAGCGTCATGAGCCTCAAGACCTCGGGTCTAAGGAAGGAATTCTCTCCAGCATCCAAGAGGGTGAACAGCAGAAACCGATTCCACGGCTGGGAGGCCACATGGAGTGCTATGGGAAGAATCAGGGTTCTGGAGGTTAATGCTGCCTCGCCAAAGGCCTTGGAAGAATGCTCAAGAGGACTTTCTTCTCTAGGCTCCCCGAGGAGGAATGCTCAGCTAGAGGCAGGGCGGGGAACAAGCTGACCCAGGGGGATATTTCCTGCCTGCACTGTTGGTTACCTGCTGCCAATGCTTCCTGGCTCTGTCAGACCACCCTATGACTGGGTAAAGCAGGCAGTAGGAATGGCCTGGCCACCTGAGAGCTTTGTGACCTTGGTTGGACCTATCCCATGGCCTTGCTTAACCTCAGTGCCATCTTTTAAATGGGCATGACAGTGTTCCAACAGTGTTATTGCAAGGATGGAAAGGATTCTGAGGTGGGAGAGTGGTAGGGGCTGGCTCCCCTAAGCCCCCGAGGGAACAGCAGGGAATAGGAAGGGCATCTACCAACATCCGGGCTCCGGGTGTGCAGGTAATCAAGCAAGGCCTCCAGGCAGCCGACACAGGACTGGGACAGCAGAGGGTCTTTCTGCAAAACACACACGTTCAGGTCACGTTTTGGTGCCAACTAAAAAAAAATAATTGATTGTTAGAGCAATTCGGGTTTCTGAATTTCAGATTTGGAACTGTGACCCTGTAGGCAATCACATTTTTTTTTGTTTCCCTCCATCTCTCACCCACACAGAGCACAGGGCTTACCCTGAGTGATTTCCCTGCATTCGAGTGGTGGTTTTGTGTCTGCAAAGGAGCCAGGTTTGGGGTGTTTGTGTGGCCACTAGCAGATTCACAGAATATTGACCAGCGAAGAAAGAGCCTGCCAGTTTATCTCTATTGTTAAAGGAGGAGAGCTTTTCATCTAACAAAATCACCAAACACAAAATCACCAAAACACAACCAGCTGCTCCTCGGAAACCCTATAAAGGGTTGCTATGAGTTGGAACCCACTCCAGAGCACTTAACAGTTAACAATTAACACATGGGAGAGCAGTCGTTCCATATGATAAGCACTGGACTGCGAGCCACAAGGTCGGCGGTTCAAGCCCGCCAGCTGCTCCACAGGAGAAAGACGAGGCTGACTACTCCCTCAAAGATTTAAAGCCTTGGAAACCCTCTACAGGATCGCCATGTAGTGTCAACACAAAGTCCCTAGGGCTGTAGCAGGTGGCCTTGAGTCAGAGAAGTGAACTGGAAAGAACACCCAGATCATGAGCTGGCAGACGCTAGAACGCAAAACCCAGCAGCCCAGAACACTGCCGTGCAGCAGTGCCCCCCTAAACCTCCAGACCCAGGGCCAGACCAAGACTGGAGAGCCGGCTGCTCTAAGCGTCTGTGGAACACTCAGAGAGCGCTGGCTGGGTGGGCGGAGTAAGGGGGGAAGCACACAGCAGTGGAAGCGCCTCATCTCCCTTCACTCTCCCCTCAGCCAATTTCCAAACCCTGCACCCCTTCTTTGTCACAGCAGAGCAGCCCCCCAGCCACACATCTTCATGAGGGGCCTCTGGGAGAGTGGCGTCCACCCTCGACTTCTCCCCGTGGATAGGAAGTGGACACACGTGGCTCTGCCTCTGCAGCAGACTCACAGAGAGAGTATATTTCGGACTATTCTTGGTCAAGGGGGTAGGATGCCAGGGCAGGCCCGGTTCCTGGTAGAGACAGGAAGTGGGGCAAGGAGCCCAGGGTTGCTCTAGCTGGGCCCATGACAGAGCTGAAGTAAAGCCACTGTGGCCATTTGTAGTGGTCATTTCCCCCAGTTTTGACCTGACCAATAAAATGGAAGTATCCAAGGAGTTTCAAACTTGGAGGCCATGGGACAAAAGCATTCCTCGTTGACCCTTGACTCCCAATCTGGGGTCTTACCTTCTACCCAACAATTCCTGGAGTCCCAACCAACAAGGTCTCCATTTCATTCCATCCCGGGGAGGGAGTGCTGGGCAGGAGATGGAGGTGTGGGAAATGGGAGGTTCATTTGAACTGCTCTTCCCCCCACCTCTCCTCAGCAATTCCTTTATTTCTGATCACAAGCTCCAGGACCCTGAGCAGTCATGACCTCTCTGAGCTTGTTTCCTACCTCGCAGGGCTGCTGGTGTGAGAGTCACATGAAACCATAGATACTAGATGGCTAAGGAAACTACATAGTGTGAAGTGTCTGATGTGGCCGCCACTGCTATTTTTAATCCTGTTTCCTGTCACCTTCTGGTAGATTGAGGCTTGTCATCCCCTCCCTGTATAGACCTTCTGAGGCCCTGTCTCATGACTATTGTCTTCCCCCAAACAGAACCTGGCTAGAAGGAACTTTAAGAGTCACCGAAACCCACACTCCAGCACTTATCTGTCAATATGTCTTATCATGATGGTTTGCATGTTGCTGTGACGCTGGAAGATATACCACCAGGATTTTAAATACCAGCTGGGTCACCTGGTAAACAGGTTTTAGCTGAGCTTCAAGACTAAGACAGACTAGGAATTAGGAGAGACTTCTGAATGTTTAGCCACTGAAAACCTTATGAGTAGCATGGAACACTGTCAGCACCAGAACACTGACTATTGAAGCATGATGAAGAGCACCAGAATATTGTCAGATATAGTGCCGGAAGATGAGCCCCTCAGGTTGGAAGGCACTCAAAATATGACTGGGGAAGAGCTGCCCCTTCAAAATAGAGTTGACTGTGGTGATGTAAATGGAGTAAAGCTTTTGGGACCTTCATTAGCTGACACGGTAAAACTCAAAATGAGGAGAAACAGCTGCAAGCATTCATTAATAATCAGAATGTAGAATGTATGAAGTACGAATTCAGGAAAATTGGAAGTTGTCAAGAAGGAAATGGAATACATAAACACTGATATCCTATGCATCAGTGAGCTAAAATGGACTGGCATTGGCCATTTTGAATCTGACAATCACATGGTTTACTAAGCTGGGAATGCCAAATTGAAGAGGAATGGCATTGCATTCATCATCAAAAAGAACATTTCAAGATCTGTCTTGAAGTACAATACTGTCTGTGACAGGATAATATCCATACACCTACAAGGAAGACCAGTTAGTAGCACTATTATTCAAATTTACCCACCAACCACTAAAGCTCCTGATGCTGAAATTGAAGAATTCTACCAACTTCTTCAGTCTGAAACTAATCAAACATGCAATCAAGATGTATTGATAATTACTAGTGACTGGTATACAAACGTTGAAAACAAAGAGAAAGGATCAGTAGTTGGAAAATCTGACCTTGGTGATAGAAACGATGCTGGGCTTGGTTTGGGGTGCCATCCTGGCGAGAGTGAAGGTGCAAAAGGTCATGTACTCAATACTTAAGATCGTGACCCACTGGCTAAGTGTCCATCATGCAGACACAACGTGCCCACTTTGGGACCCAGATCTGGCATAGGGGAGTGTTAGGGATTAAATTGTGCCCCCCATAATCCCTCCCACACACAAATGTATGCTATAAATTATAACCCCTATCCTTGTGATTATAATTCCATTGGAAAATGGACTTTGTTTTGATAGTGAGACAGTATTAGTGTAGGGTATGTTTGAAGTCTTTGATGCAATGGGTTAGGTGTTGATCAGCGATTCAATCCCAGTAGCAGCTCTGAGGGAGAAAGATGAGGCTGCCTATTCCCATAGAATTGATGATTTTCTCTTGAGATAAAAGAGCATATTAGGCATGGAGAGGCAAGTAGAAATGGGGGAAGACAGATGCCAGGCCCCATGAAAGAACATCACCAAGGAGCCAAAAGCCTTCCCCAAGAGCTGACAGAGAAAGTCTTGCTCTAGATTTGGTGTCCTGAATCTGGACTTCTAGCCCCTCAAACTGGGAGAGGATACATTTCTGTGAGTAAAGACCCCCACTAGTGGTATTCGTTCTAGCAGCCCTAGAGAACTAAGACAGGAAGGCTGCGTTAAAAGCTTGTTTGGGACAGATGTGACAAAGCCATAGAGTAAAACGTTAACGGTGGACTATATGTTGATGGGAATGAGCGTGTGAACGCTCACTATAAAAATCTTTCATCGTTACTCTCTGTTTAAAATTTTTCAGATAAAGCAGCCCATCCAGACTTGAGGGCCAGACATGTTCCACTATGAGGTTTATCACCAAGAAAGCTAAAGTTTTGATTCCCATCTGACTCCTATCCTGACCTCTCAGAGTGACCCCATAAGGAGACAAAGACACAGAATTCACCAGACATGAATCGGTCACGAGTAAGGCTGCTAACCTCAAGGTCAGCACTTGGAAACTACTGGCCATTCCAGGGGAAAACGATGAGGCTTTGTGCTCCTGTAAAGATTTACAGCCTCGGAAATCCTATTCAGGGTTGCTATGAGTTGGAACTGACTCCACGACACACCACCACCACCACCACCAGTCTCTGCCCCTGAAGAGCTCACAACCTAATGGGGAAAAATGAGGAAATTGAAAACTTAACAACAGAAAGTGAAAAGAGTTATCATGTGATAAAGGCCTGGCTGCCCCAGAACAAGCTCACTCCTGGGGCATTTTCTGTCTCCTTACATTTCCCAACGTCCCCCAACCTCCAACCTGTGTGCAGGCCCAGAGGGGATCAGTCCTTGAACATAACTCCTCCAGTCAGCAGCCATATCACATAAGTGCACCGAGTGGAATCAAGAGCCCTGTACCCTCCTCACACTCATTCATTGGCCTCTCCCAGCCCCGCCTTGTCCCATCAGTGCCCTGTTATCAATCAGACCATGAGGATGGATCTGTGACTAACTTAGCCAAGTGCCTAAAGAGTATGAAAGGAAAGTCCACGTCTAGCTGTGATAGTTAAACTTTGTGCCAACATGACTGGGTCAGTATGTTCAGTGGCTTGGCAGTTAAGATATACTAAACTTCCATAGTGAGATTTAATAGAATGTAGTCAGCTCCGTGACGAGGTCTCTATGAGCAGCAAAAAAAATGGAGTTTCCATGGGGGTGTGGCCTGCTTACAATATATTGGACAATCTGACAAAGCTTCCAGCACTCGTCTGTCAGTTTGCTGTATTGTGGTGACTTGGGTGCTGCTAAGATGCTACAAGCTATGTCACCAGTATTTTAAATAGCAGCAGGGTCACCCATTGTGGACAAGTTTCAGCTGAGACTCCAGATTAAGGCAGACTAGGAAGAAGAAGAAGAGGTAGACTAGTTCTGAATGCTTAGCCACTGACAATCTTATGAATAGCACTGGAACACTGTCAGATATAGTGCCAGAAGATGAAAGAATTATGAATATTGTTATGGTAATGTGCTGTCTAGTTGTCAAAGACAGTGCTGGTAAATGAGCCCCGCAGGTAGGAAGGCATTCAAAATATGACTGGTGAAGAGCTGCCTCCTCAAGTACAGTTGACCATGATAATACCAATGGAGTAAAATTTTCAGAACATTAACTGTCCAACTCTCACATACATATGAAGCTACTGAAAATACCATGGCTTGGGTCAGGCACAAACAGACATCTTTGCTCTTCCACACTTTCAGAGGTCCTGTCCAGCAGATTTGCTTAATGCAATACATCATTTGATTTCTTGATTGTTGTTTCTATGAGTGTTAATAGTTGATCCAAATTAAGATGTATGTGAGAGGTGGGCAATGAATAAGGAAGACTACAGATGAATGCATTTGAGTTATGGTGTTGGAGAAGACTATTAAAAGTATCATCACCTGTCAGAGGAACAAACAAATGTATCTTAGTAGAAGTGCAGTCAGAACACTCCTTAGAAGCCAGGATGGCTGGACTTCGTCTCTCATATTTGGACATATTATCAGGAGGGGCCAGTCCCTGGAGAAGTACATCATGCTAGGTACAGTACAGTGTCAGTGAAAAAGAAGACCTTAATAAGATGGATTAGCACAGTGGCAGCAGCAATGGGCTCAAGTGTGACAATTGTGCATAGGGTCGCTGAGTCAGAACCAATTGGACGGCACCTAACAACAACACTGGGCAAAGCATCTGGCTTTTAATCTGGACTTCAGCCAGTGGCCCACAATACTGCCTGCTGATCCTAGCAATCGTCAGCAGACTAACCTCTTCCCTGCCAACCTTGGATTCATTCACCTCTGTATCCAGAAGCCTGCCAAGCTAGGATTCATCAGTCCGTGCAGCTATGTGAGTCAGGAAAAGTCTTCAGCCTGACATCTCACCCACAGACTTGGAATTGGCCTGCCTCTACAACTGTGTGAGTCATTTCTTTGACATCAATCTCTTTGTGCAGACTCCTGGTATGGCACTGTAGGATAAGCACTGGACTGTGAATCACTAAGTCAGCGGTTCAAACCTACCAGGTGCTCCTTGGAAACCCTATACAGGGTTGCTCTGAATCGGAACCAACTAGACAGCACGTAGCCATAACAATATACATACATCCATATACAGAAGTTTTACTGATTTCACTTCTCTAGAGACCCAGCCTAAGCCACTACTCAGCACAAATGTGTAGGGTTTGAATGTAACAGACACTAAGCTCCGTGAAAAAGAAGCAAGTCCGAGGGAGGAATCAAAGATGGAAACTAGGCCATGCAGCTAGGGAAAGGGAGTCCATATCCGGTAACAAAATGGTGTTGCAGTCCAGACCAAGCCCACCCCTGGCATTCCTTCCAGTCCGCTTCCAGTCAATCGCCCAGGAAGCCTTCTCTGAGAGCGAGCCTCACACTCACCATTGCACACGGACTGGCAGGGACAGCCTAAGTGCCCAGCACTCTGCCTCGCAGCCCTGAGCCTTTTCCAGGGGTCTCTGGCTTGTGGAACACTAGATCCTGAGTGAATATAACCTACTTCTAACCATGTGGCATCAAGTTGATTCCAACTCAGTGACCCCATGTGTGTTAGAGCAGACCATGTTCCAGAGTTTTCATTGGCTGATTTTTTAGAAGTACAGGCAGTCCTGAGTTTTAAACATCTAACTGATAGACAATTCCTACCTGCCCTTTAATGTTACATATAGGCTTGCCCTAACGTTGAAACCAATGAACTAACCCCTCAAATCAAGCCAAGCTCAATGCCACTGAATCAATTCCGACTCTTAGCGACCCTGTATAGGATTTCCGAGGTTGCACATCTTTACAGGAGCAGAAAGCCTCAGCCCTCTCCTGTGAAGAGACTGGTGGGACTTGTGGTTAGTTGTCCAGTGCTTATCCTAAAGAGTAGCCAGGGATCCATGAACTACCCTGTGGTGTTGTTAAGTGCCACTGAATCGGTTCTGACTCATAGTAACCCCGTATAGGGTGTCCAAGGAGCATCCGGTAGCTTTGAAGTGCCAACCTGTGGTTTGCAATCCAGTGCTTATCCTACAGCACTACACCAGAACACAAACCCCTGGTGATAGTGGTGACGGTGTACTGTCAAGTCTGTTCCTCCTCTTGGCGACCCTGTGCAGGGTTTCCAAGGCTGAAAATCTTTACAGGAGCAGAAAGCCTCCTCTGTCTCCCATGGAGCAGGTGGTAGATTCGAACTGCTGACCTTGCGGTTCGCAGCTCAACTCATAATCCACTACGCTACCAGGGCTCCTTGAACTCCTCCTATTGTTGTTAAGTGCTGTTGAGTCAGTTCTGACGCATAGTCACCCTGTGTAGGGTTTCCAAGGAGTGGCTGGTGGGTTTGAACTGCCTCCTTATAGTTGAAATCGACTCCTCAACTAGCACCCTTTTTTTTTTTAATGTTTTATTATGAATTATGTGATAGTTTACACAGGAGAACATTAGTTTTATATTCATCTTATAGTCTATGGTTTCATTGCCATGGTTACAATCCCCTCTATGCATCATCAACCAACCAAAGGGCATACACTACAAGCCTGCCCTCTGGTCATCAGCACACAGCCCCTCTCCCTCTCTGGGTCTCAAGTCCCCAGCTGCTCCATCACTCCACGTCATGCAGCCAATTCTTTATCAAAATCCCCTTCATTTGCTGCACAAGCAACTTTGAAATCACTGAAAAAGCTTAGTCTTGTCTTGCTCTAAAGTAAGGCTAAACGAGAACCCTAAGCACCAGTTCCAAAGGGCTTGCCAGTTCCTAAACTCACATTTAGGAACGGATTTCATCCACAGCCCAGAGACTGTCTGTACGTTGCCTGGCCTCTCTTCCAAGTGCCTCTGGGTAGATTCCAACTCCAATCTTTCAGTCATTAGCTGAGTGCATGAACCATTGGACCACCCCCAGCTCAGGGCTGCCCTAAGACAGCACAGGTTGTATTGTCACCTCCTATCTGCCTGCTTTGTTCAGACCTACGCCTGCCTGGACCCTCCAGACCCTGCTGTGAAGCTGGATGGACAGCAATTCCCCCTCTGTGGTGGGCATCTATTGTTTTGTATGTCTGGCATCCATTCCTTCTTCTGGTAGCACTTTTCCTTTGTGAATCACCCTTCTCTCACTCTCGGTCCATGTGGGTTCTGGAGAGCTGACCATAGGCCCCGGACTGCAGCAATGGGCACTGACCAAGTTCTGGCCAATCAGAGCATCCCACGGCCCTGGCCATAATGGCGGCACATTACCCAAGTCAAGCTCATGAGCCAATTTTGGTGACTGCTGGGAATGAGAAACTTTGTTTTTGCTGGAAGAACATAGCAGAAGATTGCTAGTGGTCCTCTCAACAGCCCCCGGGATACCTGCCAGAGAATATAGCTGCTGACAGAGTGGAGAGCAAAAGCAAGGGCTCCAGAGTCCCAGGGACACTGAAGCTCTGGGATCCCTGCCCTTTGTAGTTCTAAGCCACTTCTGTCATTAAAACTGAAAAGGCACTGATCAGTCCACCCTCCAGGCCTGCTGGGAGGCCAGGCTCCTGAGGAGGAGGTGGAGCAGACAGACTTCCCGAGTTGTCCAGGAGACATAGCCCCCCACTAACAGCGTCTCACCAAGTCAGACTCTCACCTGCACCAGGAGGCTCTGCAGCCCGACGAGCAGGGCCAGCACTTGTGAAGTTCCCAGTGGAGCCAGCACAGTGTCTTCGGGGGCCCGCAGGGGCTGGGTCCCCGAGGGCACCAGGGTCACCAGGGCTGAGGAGAAGCCTTGCTGCAGGGTTGTGCGCAGGAAGCGGGCTATAGTGGCTGAAAGCAGAAGGCTACTTATACTCAGATTCTGTCTCCTTCCCCGCCTCCCATCCTGCACTGCCACCGGAAGGGATGCAGTGGGGTGAGCACAGACTGGGGACGGAGTGAGGCAGTCCCACCTCAGAACCCTGCAGCAAAGCTCCCCCTTGCTGTAGGAGCCCTGGCCCCCACCTGAGAGCAGCGCAGCCTGTTTCTGGGGAAAGCTGAGGGCCTTCAGGACTTGGTCCAGCTCCACAGACAGCGTCTGGTGAACCTGGCAGGGAAGGGGGCAAAGGGCTGAAAAAGGCCGGTACCAACAGCAGGAGGGCACACAAATCCCCCACAACCCTAACTCCAGGAGTGTGAGGAGGGGAGCCGGAACTGGACCTGGGAAACTGTCCTCCTCCCAACTTGCTCTTCCCTCCAGGGCCTCCTCCACCAGGGAGCTTGTTCCGCCCCATCTGGGGTCAGGACACCATCCACCTAACTCAGAAGAGCCTGAGTCAGTCTGGACTCAAAATCCTGGCTCTGCCACTTGCCACCTCGCTTAGGCTGCCTTGCTTGCTTCATCTGTAGAGTGGGGACAATGCCACCTGCTCCCACTCCCTGGAGAGCTGAGGACCAGCATGAGTGTGCATGCTCTAGATGGCACAGCAGTGGGCAGTGGCAGAAGTGTGAGTCCACTCCTCCACCAGAACACAAGCTGTCTAGGGGTGGGAATGGCTTCTCCCCAGCTTGGACCCCTCCCCAGGGCTGACACAAAGCAGTTCCTCCATACCCCTGGATGCCTGGTGAAAGTGGTAGGTTTTAGACAGAAGAAGCAAAGGCTAGGAGACTGGAAAGGCGCGCAGCTGACGGGGAGAGGTGGGATGGTGGGCTGCAGAGGGGCCTGGCTGACAGAGCCTCTACTACCAGGGCCGGGCAGAGGAGACACACAGACAGACCCAGACAGAACGAGGCTGCAGTGAAGGCAGATGCAGATGAGGGGAGAGGATTAGGTCAGGGGATCTGTGAGCAGCCACAGTGGTGGTAAAGATGAGTGATGAGTCTGGGGTTCAGGGAGGTAGGAGTAAGTAACCAGCTAGGTATGAGCAGAGGGCCAGGCCAGAGCAGGACGGGGTATAGGTTCCCACCCCAGCAGGTTACTGCAGGGGTATGAGGGGGCCCAACAGCCTCATACACAAAGCACCGATGTTTTCTGGCCCAGATTAGCCTCAGGAACAACCTGAGGGACCTGCCACAGCTGTTGGTCTGGCACCCCTCGCTGCCACCCTCGAGACCTAAGTTTAGAACTGACTTCACTTCTACACAGACAACTGTGTGGCTGGTACAAGACCGGCTCAGCGCTGGGCACAGGGTGGGCCACGCGGGGAGACCAGGTGACAGTTCTGCCCTGAGGAGCAGGCAGATGTAGGGAAGAGACATCCAGACCGTGAAGCTGCCCTCAAAGGGCCTGGGGCAGGGTATCCTGAGAGCCACAGCCCTGCTTCTGGGGAGCGGCGGGGTTGGGGGCGCTCTGTGGACATACACACCTCCCTCACTGTTTGCAACATCTTCCCAAATATCACGAGGACTCCTAAGCTGACCTGCACAGCTTACACTCTAGCTGCACAGAGCTCCCCCAGCCCCAAGACATGGGCACTGCTTTCTGCAGCCGTGAGCCTCTCCCGTGTGGTCTCCTCTCCCCTGATGCCTTCCCCACCACCTTTGCCTGGCACAATCCTACTTGTCTTTCAGGCTTTGCTTAAATTCAACAAGCTCCCTGAGGGTGGCCGGTGCTGTATTCATTTTATTTCCTCAGTGCCTAGAGTGAGGCCTGGCACACAGTGTGTGAGCCATACCCTGTACTAATGAATATGAACCAACTTGACAACAACCCTGAATTGTCTCCTTCTTTTAGAAGGTAAGGAAAACTGCAGCTCAGAGAGGGTTAGACACCTTCCCAACGTCCTACAGCTAATAGCCACAGAGCTGGGATCAGAACTCAAGGTCTTCATAACTCCTTTGAGTGCCATTCCTCCCAGAGTTACAGACTCACCTGCAAACTGCTGCTGTGCTGCTGGGTGGAGAGGGAGGCGGTGAGCAGCCAGGCAGAGCTGAGGAGTGCTGTGCCCGTTTTGGGAGAGTCAGCCTGGGCCCAGGTGAGCGCCAGCAACTTCTCCAAGAGTTCCATCAGGGCGGAGCTGCTCAGTATCACAGCAGCAGCTGTGGGGACAGGGCAGGACCAGAGTCACACAGGAGCCCAGTTTCGGGCCTTCCGTGGTTCTAGGGAACAGAAGGGTCCACTTGAGGCTTGAAGGGCCCCAGGATCACGGCCATCAGAACCAGAAGGACCCTTAGGAGCATCTGGCCCAGCCATGCCATGCCCCTCCAGTGGTTGTTTTTTTAAAGGAGAAACACAGCAGAGAAGGTCCATTTACAAGGGGAGGTGGGGATCTTGGATTGGAGCATGAGAGCTCCAAGGACCCTGAAATAAAGGCTTTGCCCTTTTCTAATTCATTTCACATCAAATGCCCTACTTGGTCTTGACCTCAGTCCCGGGAGGAAGTTATCTTGAGAAAAGGGAAGGGTTCAGAGAGAAGTAGCATGGACAAGGTCTGGCAGTTAGACAAGGAGGAGAGGATGGGGTTAAAGCCACACCCCGATTCCTGGTTCTGCTCAGCACAGATGCTGCCCGGCCCCCCTCTCTGGCCCAGCACCTCTCTGCCGACTGACGGGTGTGGTGTGGTGAAGGCTCCAATACAGGAAGTTGAAAGAAGGCTGTAGGATGTCCACGTCTGTGGGCCCGCACTTGCCGCACAGCTTGCTCACTGCAAGAGACAGAGGCCCAGGCTCCTCTCGTGGGTGCCTTGACCGAGCACCAGCACTGATGAGGGTCTCCACAGCTGGCCTCAGACATCAGTCTTGGGACCCAGCACAAACACAGGGTCCCTGGCATGACAGCCAATGTGTGGTCCACGCGGATGAACATCCAGTAGGTCGCCCACAGCTGACCACACAAGTTTAGGGGTCAAAGTCATGGTATCACTGTGCTCTGTCCTGGTGGAATCCAGGGGCAGGGTCTGCAGAGGTCATCTAGGTCAGCCTGTGCCTCAGCAGGCCTTGCTGCCCACCCAAGTGATCCAGCCTCTGAACCCTCCTAGAAGCAGCCATTCACTTCCCGGGGGAAAGACACGAACACTCGCCAGTGGGTCTGGTTCTCATCCTTAGCACTTCCCCGAGGAAGCCTGCCTAAACTTCTCAAGGCAAGATTAGACATCCCTTCTGCACTCCCCAAGGAGTCCTGGTGGTGCTGTGGACTAAGCAGTGGACTGCTAACCACAAGGTCAGTGGTTCAAACCCACCAGCTACTCCTCTGTAGGAAAATCTGCTCCCGTAAAAGACTGACCGTCTCAGAAACACTCTGGAGCAGTTCTACTTGGCCCCACAGGGTCACGATGTGTCACAATTGACTTGATGGCAGTGGCTTTTGATTGGTTCTGTGCTCCCGGCCCTCATCAGTCTACAGAACTGTCTGATCAACACATGCCTTTCCTCCGAGAATTGCCTGTCCCCCTTTCAAATCATGAACCTTTCCCCAGCTTACATGACCTCTTTTGGCAGCCACGGTGCCCTCTGACCCCTCAATGGCTACAGTCTACCAGAATAGGCTGGGCTTTCCCACCATTCTTACTCAATGTAAGTATTGAAGGGTTACAATGCTAAGGACTTTGACATGTTGGCCTCAGTCCATCATTCCTTCCTGGGGGGAAGCCCTTCGAAAGGCCAATTCGGTCACACAGCTAGCTTGGCCGCACCCTGGATCTGATAGCCAGGCTGGTGGTGACCAGTCCTGACCAGAGGACCTGAGAGAGACACCTTCCTATGAATGTCCCCTTTCTCTCAGATCCCTTCTTGAGAGGGCTGCCTATTACGTGCTGATGCATTTAAGAGCAATGAAAGGTCCTGCTGAGGTTGGGAGCCGGGGTGGTAGAGAGAACTGTGAGTGGGATCATTAGCTCCTGAGTTCACTGTGGGACAAAGTGGAAAAGTGAACTGATGCCAGGACAAACACATCCACTGGACGCAGCAGACTCTATCCACTGGTTCCAATGAGATCATTAGCCCAACTCCATCAGGTAAGTGCCACGATCTGACCTCTGACCTCTGCAGAGTCTAAGGCTCGTAGAGGTGAGGCAGTTGGTTGCCCAGAGGCATACTAGTGACTAAGCCAAGATTCAAGATCATGCCCTCCTCACTCCAAAGCTTGTGTTGGACGAAAACCACTGTGTCCCTCAATTACTTCCAGAGACCTTCTAGCTTCTTCCAAAGGAACAGACAGGCGGAAGAGAGGAGTACCCACAGCCAGGCTGCATGATTACACCTCACACACCAGCCCCAGGCCTTGGGCACCGTCCCAAGTGGCCACCATACCCTGGTGAAGGAGCTTCATGGCCATGCTGTCCAGTTCTAGCTCCGACTCGCTCTTCAGCTGCACTAAGGAGAGGAGGCTCAGCAGCAGAGATAGGTTCCGGGAGGCTGTGGAGAACATAGGTTGCTGCTCAGGGAGCGGACACCTCACACAGCTCTCATGACCCTGTCCGCAAAGAGGCATCTATCTGACTCTCTCTTTCTCCCAAGGTGGCTTGTTGGGACTTACCCCTCCTCCCTGATATATTTCTTCATCACTGACTTCAGGAACAACTGACTATGAGCTCTGTGTTGGGTGCTTAGAATTCATGTTTTCACCTAATCCCTTAAACAACCATGTGAGCACAGCTGGCTAATTCTAGTTTTCAGTTCAGAACATTGATTAACTTCTCCAAGGTGCCACAGCCAGGAAGTGGCAGGACCAAGATTTGAACTTAAGTCTGAATCCAATGCCCATGGCCCTTCCACTGTGTGCTTACAGTGAACCTCCTCAGTCTTAGGTGGTATTCTCCATAAACCAGTTTGTCCTTCCCTGCAGAGGGCAGGTCCAGACCCCAGTTCTCACTCAATTTGGGACTCGCCTTCTACTTGCTCTTAACTGCTTGGAAATTTCATTTACTAATTCAGCCTTTTTAAAAACAGGAAGAGAAAAACCCAATTCCAACTTTCAGGTTCTTGTCATTTCACATTTCAAGTTTACTTGACCCCTTGGGAGGCTCACCAAGATTTGGAAACTACACTCCTGGTCCTCCCTGGGAGCCTCCACAACACACCACAAGCCCTCCCATCCCCAACCCTGATGGCTGCTACGCCTCCCCCGCCTCCCCTGTGTTTCCCACTTGCTTCTTCACAACTGGGGGCTGCCGTTCTTGTAGCAAACAGCTCTGTCAAACACATAGCCATTACACGTGACCACCACACTCTCTCTCACACATACACTGTCTTCCAGGTCAGAAAGCAGGTGATGTTTGGCTTGGTGTCTCCCTAGCCTGCCTTTCCTTCTGCAGAGAAAAGTTCTGCTTCTGACCTCTAGAGCAGAACAGACCAACATAGAGACCCTCACTCTTGATCACCCAGCTAGACAAGGACCTTCTGGTCAAAACATGTCTCCAGGACCTGCAGACTGACCTTTTGACATTGGGAGTTTGTACTCCACCAGCAGATGCTGTAGGATCAGCAGGAAGTGGCCTCGGATGAACCCACCCACGTGGACATCTTCATTCCTCTTGAGAAAGGTCCTCAGGACAATCAACACCTTCCGGGCTATGTCCACTGGAGCAGAGTAGATGAGGTCCTGAGCAGGAAGGAAGGAAGCCAGAGCTCTGAGGGCACTGGGGTCAGGGACCAGGTGGATAGGGCAGGGTGTGTGTGTGCAGGATGACAGTAAAATGAAGTCTGGGGGAGGAATCTCTCACTGACCAGCACCTGACCTCTCACAACCACCCTGAGGAACAGGCAGAAATTCATTCCACCTTCAACAAGAGGAAACAGGCCCAGTGAGATTATGTCACTTGCCAAAGGTTACATCGGCGAGTAAGGGACATAGAGGGTTTGAACACAGTTCTCCTAACTCCAAGCCCAAGTTCTTTCTACTTTCCAGGCTGCCTCCATCTAATTGTTTTCAAATGGGGGAACTGAGTGTGCCTTAGGGACAAGAGAAGAGATAGAAGAGGGGTGCAGATGTCACAAGGACAAAGAGGATGGGCCAAGACAGATTCAGGGTACTGGAAAGGAAGCAGAAACTGGGTCAGGCCCTTTTTGTCTTGGTCTCAGAGTCCTGGTGTGGCACTGTAGGATAAGATTTCGACCGCAAGGTCAGTTTAAACTGCAAGGTCAGTGGTTAAAACTGACCAGTCGGTTCTCAGAAACCCTATACAGGGTCGCTATGGTTCTGAAGTGACTTAAGAACACTTAACTACGACAACAGAGCTATTTCAATGGATATATGTTAAGGCAAAGCCAGTTAGAAGCCACATACCACAAGTCATCTGACTGAGAGTTCTTGGCATCGACCAGCTCAAACAAGACAATTGTTTTGGACAAACCGACATGCTGGGCCAGTTAGGGCTGGGTATTATGAAGCCAAGACTACACAGAGCCACTCTCTCTCTGGAGAAGACAGCTACTGACACACAGAGAGATATGGACCAGGTCACCCAGCCACACACATAGCCAGAGGAGGGGATGGATGGGACACAGGGAGCAGCCAGGCTTACTTTATCACAAACCTCCACTACTTCCAGAGAAACAACTGCAGCATCATTAACTCTCTCCTGGTTAGGGCCTAGTGGTAACTCCATGTCAACATAGTCGCCTGCTAACTGGGGGTTGGAAGTCCAAGTCCAACCGGAGGTACCTCAGGAGAAAGGCTGGTGATCTAGTTTCAAACAACCCTTAAAGTTCAAAACCCTTAAGGGTACAGTTCTACTCTGACACCATGAGACTGCCGCGAATCCGAGTCGACTTCCTCTGCAGGGAAGGACAAACTGTGGTTCATGGAGAACACCACAAAATGCAGGCAGCTTACTGTAAGCACATAGCAACTGGCTTGGTTTGGGATTTGAGAGGTTTGCTTATATGTTATCTAGCGCTTCAGAATAACTCATAATAGATAGCAGATAAATGTCACTGTCGTTTGTCAGATGAGGAAACGGAGACAAGGTGTTGATTATCAAGAAAACTATTGTTGTTTAGTGCTATTGACTCATAGCAACTCTGTATAGGGTTTCCACAGGAGCCCTGGTAATGTAGTGGATTACAAGCTGGGTTGTTAACCACAAGGTCAGCAGTTCAAACCTACCAGTTTTTCCATGGCAGAAAGATGAGGCTTTCTGGTTCCGTAAAGATTTTCAGCCTCAGAAACCCTATACAGGGTCGCTATGAATCAGAACCAACTCTACGGCACACCACCACCACCACCATAGGGTTTCCAAGGAACAGCTGGTGGTTTTGACCTGCCAACCCTGTGGTTAGCCGTGTAGTGATAATCCTACAATGACTCCATCAAGAAAGTAGTGGAGTTGTAAATTTCACTAGACTATAAGTCAATCAAGGGCAAGGATCAGCATTTGTGTGTGTGTGTGTGTTTAAGTTTTTATTGTGAATTCAGTGATAGTTTACATGGGAAAACATCAGTTTTACACTCATTATTTCATTGCAATGATTACAATTCCCTCCATGTATCATCATTCAACAGTATTTGCTTCTATTCCCTCTGGGGATTTTTTGGGAGAGTGGTGAGCGGGGATGTACACAAAAACACTCAGGAATATATAATAAACAACCAAAGGGCATATTCTGCAAGCCTGCCTCCTGGCTGCCAGCACACAGCCTTTCTCTTTCCATGAGTCTGGAGTCCTCAGCTGCTCTATCTCTCCATGTCCTCATCTCTGCCTCCATCTCTGGTGTCACTGCTTCTCTAGATAGGGTCCCATATTCCACACATGTTCTTCTTGCAAGGATCAGTTTTGCTTCATTTTTGTCATCTTGTGGGGACTCAAAAAACATGTCTAGACAGAAAAGAGCAGAGGATGGAAGCACTAGGATCTCCCATCATATTGAACCCCCAGTCACAGGGCTCAAGACCAAACTGGCCCAAGACTATCCTGGTCCTTCAGTACATCACTGCTTCACTGCCGGAGAGTCAGCTTCCGGAAATCTGAGTAGATCTGAGTTAGTGAAATATTAAAGACTCTAAGTGAAGGGGTTGTGATGGTCACTGGGCTAGGCTACAGTCTCCAGTTAATCAAGTAAACACTAATCTAGGTGTTTCTATGAAGGCAATTTGTAGATGCGGTTAACATCTACAATCAATTGACTTACTTAAGTAGATTTTCTTTGGTAATGTGGGTGGGCTTCATCCAATCAGTTGAAAGTCCGTGAGAGCAAAATGGAGGTTTCCTAGTGAAGAAGAAATTCTGCCACAAGACTAAAGCATCAGCTCCTTGCCCAAGCTTCCAGCCTACTCTACAAATTTCAGCCTTGCTAGCCCGCATAATCGTATAAGTAATTTCTCTGTGTGTGTATGTAAAAGACTCATATACGCTCATATTTATGTCTCTATCTCCTCCTACTAATTAGTACAAGAGCTAAGAGGACCTTTGATGGCTGTGACAAATGCTGGGGAAAGGGGCACAGCCCACTGCATGGGTCAGTGGGAAGGCTCTGGGTGGAACTGAGTCTGGGCCCACTCTGCAGTCTCAGTTGCTCAGAGCTGTCCAGAACTCTCTGGGAGTGGACCAAGCAGGGAGACTTGGACAAGTAAAGAGGAAAACAGCTTCTGTGACATCATTGTTTCTCACATCTCAACAACCCACAGAAAGACCACCCATTGATAAGAGTGGCAATTAACAGCTTTGTTTTCAACTGTTAATTACCCAGATCAAACCCAGAAATTGGTACCAACACATATTTTTAGACTCTTTTCCCCTCCTGTGGCTAGAAACTGGGGAGAAATGGCAGGAATTATATATTTGAACAGACAAGAAAGTTGTTCCTTGCTGTTATTTTTTTTACCACAGATGTTTCTAATATCTAATTTAGTGAAAGATTCACTAGCTTTGGGATCCAATCATGGTCATGATCTTTATTAGGGATATGACCTTGGGAAAACCATGTGGTCTCTCTGATATTAACTTTATCAGATTAAGAGTCAGAGGCAACGAATGAAGACTACATGGCTATGGGTTGATTTTTTTTTTTTTTTTAATTGTGAATTGAGTAATAGTTTACATGGGGAAAATCAGTTTCACACTCGTCATTTCATTGCAACGATTACAATCTTTTGGATTGATTTTATATGGCCTTTCGAATCATGGTCTTGTCATTGTTAAGTGTCATCAAGTCAGTCCCAACGCATAGTTACCCTTCCTTCGCACAACAGAACGAAACACTGCCTGGACCTCACAGTTGTTATGTCTGAATCTACTGTTGTTGTCACTGGGTCAATCCATCTTGTTAGGGAATCTTCATTTTTCTCGCTGACCCTCCACTTGCCCAAACACGATGTCCTTCTCCAGGGATTGGTCGCTCCTGATAATAGAGCCAAAGTACAAGAGATGAAGTTTTGCCTTCCTCGCTTCTAAGGAGCATTCTGGCTATACTTACTCCAAGACAGATTTGTTTGCTCTTTCGGCAGTCCACGGTTCTTTCAATACTCTTCTTCAACACAACGTAAATGTATCGATTATGTGGTCTTCCTTATTCAGTGCTCAACTTGCACATGCATATGAGGCAACAGAAAATAACATGCATTGGGTCAGACATACGTAAGTCCTCAAACTGATGTCTTTGTTCTTGAACACCTTAAAGAGGGCTTCTGAAGCAGATATGCCTAATGCAATACATCGTTTGATTTTTTTAACTGCTGCTTCTATTAGCATTGATTGTGGATCCAAGCAAATTGAAGTCTTTGACAACTTCACATTTTTCGCCATTTATCATGATGTTATTTATTGATCCAATTGTGAAGATTTCTGTTTTCTTTGCAGTGAGGTGCAATCCATCCTGAAGACTGTAGTCTTTGATCTCCATCAGTATTTTAAGTCCTCTTTACTTCCACCAAACAATCTGTGTATCGCACAGGTTGTTAATGAGTCTTCCTCCAATCCTGATGTCACCTTCTTCTTGGATTATTTGTTCAGCATACAAATTGTATGGTGTCAGGTTACAACCCTGATGCATACCTTTCCCGATTTTAAACCATTCACCCTTGTTCTGTTCTAATAACTGCCATCTATGTACAGGTTTCTTGTGGGCACAATTAGGTATTTTGGAATACCTACTGTCCACAATGTTATCCATAGTTTGTTATGATCCATATAGTTGAATGCCTTTGCATAGTCAACAAAGCACAAGTAAATATTGTTCTGGTATTCTCTGCTTTAAGCCAAGATCTATCTCATGTCAGCAATGGTTTCCTTCAGTCCACAGCTTCTTCTGAATCTGGCTTGACTATCTGGACGCTATGAGTCAATGTACTACTGTAACTGTATTTGAATTATCTTCAGCAAAATTTTACTTGCATGTGATATTAATGATAATTCTTCGATGGTTTCTGCATTCCGTTAGGTCACTTCTCTTTGGAATGGACACAGATATGGATCTCTTCCCATCAGTTGGCCAGGAAGCTGTCTTCCAAATTTCTTGGTGTAGATGAATAGAACTTCCAGTGCCTCATCAGTTGGTTGAAAGATTTCAATTTGTACTCTGTCAGTTCCTAAAGCTTTGATTTTGCCATTGCTTTCAGTGCAGCTTGGATTTCCTCCTTTAGTACCATTGATTCTTGATTTGGCACCTCTTGAAATGATTGAACATCACCCAAAGATTTTTGGTACAATGACTGTATTCCTTCCACCATCTTCTGATGTTTTCAATATCATTCAATATTTTGTCCATAGAGTCCTTTGATAATGCAACCTGAGGCATGAATTATTTCTTCAGCTCTTTCAGCTTAAGAAATGCTAAATGCGTACTTCTTTTTTTGTTTTTCTAATTCCAGTTCTTTGCACATTTCTTTATAATAGATGACCTTGTCTTCTTGAGCTGCCCTTTGAAGATTTCTGTTCATCTCATTTACTTTTTCATTTCTTCCAGTCACTTTAGCTTCTCTAAGCTCAAAACCAAGTTTCAGAGTCTCGTCTGTCATCCATTTTAGTCTTTTCTTTCTTTCTTGACTTTTTAATGACTTTGCTTTTTTCATGGATGATGTTCTTGATGTCAGCCCACAGCTCTTTTGGTCTTCCTAATGCATCAAATCTGTCTTGAGATAGTCTCTAAATTCAAGTGGGATATGTTCAAGGTCATATTTTGGCTCCTACGGGCTTTCATTTTCTTCAGCTTCAGCTTGAACTTGCATATGAGCAGTTGATGGTCTGTTTCACAGCTGACCCCTGGCTGTGTGTTGACGGATGAGATTGAGCCTCTCCATCGTCTCTTCCCACAGATGTAGTCTATTTGATTCCCGTATATTCCATCTGATGAGGATCACGTGTATAGTTGCCATTTATGTTGTTGAAACTGCAAAGAATAAGTTATTGGTCTTACAAAATTCTGTGATGCACTCTCCAGCATCATTTCTATCAAGGTCAAATTTTTCAACGACAGATTCTTCCTCTTTCACATTTCAATCATCAAACTTTTTATTGTGAATGAAGTGAAGGTTTACATAACAGATCATCAGTTTTATATTCACTAAGCATATACTGTTTCATTACAATGATTGTAATGTACCAACAACTATCAGTATTTACTTCCATATACCAACAATTATCAGTATTTACCTCTACTCACTCTAACAATTACATTCCCTGCTATGTCGCCTGCTACCTTCATCTTTCTTGTTAACTTCCCTCTTGTATATTGCCTGCCCTGTCACCCAAGTTAACATGTGTCTACCCTCTAGCCCATAAATGATTTTCCTTCTCCCTGACGCCCCATAACCATCATAGATCGTTTCCTTTATAATGAAAACCTTTTATTAACTTTTACAACATTGGTCTTATACAGTATTTGTCCTTTTGTGATTCACTACTTTCACTTAAAGGAGCTCTGGTAGTGTAGTGGTTACAAATTGGGCTGTGAACCTTAAGGACAGCAGTTCGAAACTACCAGCAGTTTCATGGGAGAAAGACGAGGCTTTCTACTGCCATAAAGATACACAGCCTTAGAAACCCTGTACAGGGTCACTATGAGTCGGAACCGACTCCACAGCCCATCACGACCACAAGGACTTTCACTCAGCATAATGTCTTCCAGCTTCACTCACGTTGTGAGGTGATTGTATATTCACTGTTGTACTTCAACATTGTATGGTATCCCATTGTGTGCATGTACCAAAGTTTATTCAATCATTCTTTTTTTTTTTTTGGTGTTTTATAGTGAATTATGTGATAGTTTACATGGGAGGACATTAGTTTTACATTCATCCAATTGTAAATCGTTTCATTGCCATGGTTACAATCCCCTCCATGCATCATCAACCAACCAAATGGTACACCCCACAAGCCTGCCCTCTGGTTGTCAGCAGGCAGCCCCTCTCCCTCTCTGGGACTAGAGTTCCCAGCCACTCCATCTCTCCACGTCATCATCACTGCCCCCATCTCTGGCATCACTGTTTCTCTGGGTAGGGTCCCACACTCTGCTTTTCTCTCTTGATAGTCCCAGCGTCCTCCGCTCCTGGACTACTAAGTCAACCACTCCCCTCCTTTTGCTACAAAATGTCTACCTTTATATTTCCGACCCTCACAGTCAGTCCTGATAGTAATTATTCACTATTGTACCACATGAGTGCCATCCCCATCTCCTTTCATCAGTCCAGTCCAGACAGTCAATTATTCTTTTGATGGGCATTTAGACTGTTTCCATCTTTTTGATGTGTCTCTTGTCGACAACATATTGAAGGATCCTCTTTGCTTATCCATTCTGCCTCTTGACTGGTGCCTTGAATCCACTCATATTCAGAGTGATTATTGAGAGGTGTCGATTGGTTGCCGCCATTTTTCTGTGGGGTTTGGTGCTGCTGCTGGTTTCTTTGTTCCACATAAGTTTGTACAGAGTTCATTTAATTTGTGGGTTTTCTTTTCATTTTCATATCTGTTGTGTTCATGTTTACTAAAGCTTTTTTATTTTCTTCTTTTTTATTCTCATGTGAAAGTATATTAATTTTCTCTGAGGTTATCCTGTAATTTGTTAAAACCCTCCCTTTAAAATAGTCTGTTTTATTATGAAACTTGACTTCCTTGCCATTTGGAAATTCTGTATCTGCACTAGTCCCTCTTTTTGCTTTGTAGTTGACTTCATTATACATTGATATCTCTGGCTCCCTTTTTCCGTCTGGTAGGTTTGTTTTACTTTAAATACTTCTATATCTGGATTGAGTTCTGGGTGATGTATGTCAATCTCAGGATGTTATCTGCTGTTGTTGGGTCTCAGTCCAAAGAATGCCCTTTAGTATCGTTGGTCTAAAGTTGGTCTAATTATTACAAATTCCTTTGCAGGTAACTTTTCGTTTTTCCCAAGCTGCTCTCAGGATTCCTTCCTTGTATTTAGTTTTAGAAGTTTGATTATGATATATCCTGGTGATTTTCTTTTGGGATCTATCCTGTTTGGGGTTTCTTCGGCTTCTTATATGCTTATCTTCTTGTCTTTCATGATGTTAGGGAAGCTTTCTTCCAGTGTGAGGCAGAGTCTGGCTACGGTGCTTTGGTGTCTGGGTTCAGACAGACTCGGCACCAGACCTACAGATCCCACAGACCCACAAGACCAGCATGAGTCTAGAAGAAACCCCCATAACCAGCCACCCTACCCCCATCTGCCACGTGGTCCTAACAGACACGGACACCAGCTCCACCAAGGGCCTCCACGAACGACTCATCTCCTTTGACATACTCCAAGCTCCACAACCACGTGAGAGCATTCACTCCCCCACTTTCATGCTGCTATAAGAGACCAAAAGGGCAGCATTTGCCCCAAAACAAAGCTCAGAAAGCAGGAAGGGGCAGTAAAGAAGGACAAATGGAAATGGGGAACCCAGGGAGGAAGGGGAAGAGCTGTTACATTAAAGGGATTTGCAACTAATGTCATGAATGAAAATATGTATAAATTGTTGAATGCGAAGTTTATGTGTTCTGTAAACTTTCACCAAAATCACAATTCAAAAAAAAAAAAAAAATAGAAAACTCTATGGAGTACTCTGACACACATGAGGTTGCCATGAGTCGGCATCAACTCTAAAAACTAGTTAAGCTCATAGCAGAGCAGCCCAGAGGTGGAGGGAGTAAAAGACAGACATCTGTGTAGGAAACTAGGCAGGTGCTAAAGCGAACTGAAGAGCGTGAGGGTGGAGAGCACTAGACCTCAAGGAAGCATGTCTAAAAAAGGAGTCCACTGCACTTTTATAAGTGAGGTGCCCAGGGAAGAATGGAGGAGCCCAACCTCAGGGGACCTGGGCAGTCCTGCGGCTTTGCAGGTCCTGGTGCAAGGTGCTTTGGGAAGGTTTCTCCTCAGACACAGAAATCACCACCCTTCTCTGACTAGTTGTTGTGTTTCCTGAACTTGTGGTTGGGTGCCGGTGAATTGGTTCCAGCTCAGAGTAGAACTTCCCCCGGGGTGTCCACGGCTGTATCTTTCCCAGAGCAGGTTGCCAGGGCTCTTCTCCCAGGAGCCATGCTGTGGGTTCCAACTCTCAGTGCTTACCCATTGTACCAGCAGGACTCCTTCTTGGGCTAACGAGGGGCTGAGTGGGTGAACTGGAGTCGAAGACAACCGTTCTCTGCCAGCTGTCTCCCACACTGGCATGCTGCAATCTGTTTGGGACCTGCTACAAGTCACCTGTCACTATACATAAGGTATCAGATGTGCAAATCACTTTCTTTTTACAAATATCTGTGAATTGTAGCAGTAACCTGTTTAGCGCTCTCACTAACCTTGCGTTCCAATGTGCTTTCTTGAATGGAAGAAATAAGGTGGTGCTAAAGGAGTAATGTACTGGACCACAGGTTGTTTTGAAGCACAAGTCATCGGTTCAAACTCACCAGACACTCCTTGGAAACCCTATACAGGGTTGCTATGAGTTGAAACCAACTTGACGGCACTTAACAACAACAAAGGTGGTGTATTAGAAACTACAAACAACATGCAACCTATCTGATGGAACCCATGCTCCAGTTAGACAATGGCCTGGGGTTTCTGAGAAATCCTATCTATGGGAGTGTGCGGCAGACTGGACGTTGGTTGCTTTGCAGGTCATAGCTGAAAAGAGGTGGCATTCCCAGCAGTCAGACATCTTCATCTACGCACTAGAGGCTCTCCCTTGACAGTAAGCCCATGTTCACAAAATGGGCTTGAGAGGAGAAGACACGAAGGGGTGTAAGAGGAATGGTGACTGGGGTCAGCATTTTGTAAACTTCCATCCCCTGAGAGCAGAGCTGCACTATTAGACTTAGGAGAGCGTATGGATTTATAGAAACCAGGCAGCCACCTGCAGAAAGGCTTCCTTCCCACTTACATGGCGACCGACAACTTGGGCCCAAGCACTGTGCTGCCTCCTGACCTCAGTAAACCAGCCCCAGAGAGGGAGAGCGCCCATCACCTCCAAGTGCAGAAGGGAGCGAGTGCGGGCTCACCTACCAGAAGCATGAGCAGGATGCTGGGGCTGCTTCTGATGATAAGGAACAGCGCTGCCAAGCTGGCAGGAAGCGGGGGCTCTTGGACACAGGACACGTCGTCCAGCTCCTCGTGGTGGATCTCTTCCCAGGAGAACCACATTTCCAGGACACGGTGCCCAAACCTACTCATCATTTCTGGATACAACAGGAAGAACCTGAGCAGGGGGAGGTGATGGGTGTAGATCAGGTGCAGATCTGTGAAGTCCTCTAGGAAGTGTCTGACGGCACTGAGCAAAGTCTGCAGGCAACAGAAAGATAGACGCTAAATGCACCTTGTGGAGGACCTAAAAGACCCCCCAAAACACAGCCAAGACACCACAGTGAAAAGTGTACCGGCATCTTAGCACTCCAGGGCGCCTTCACTGGCGAGAGCTCAGGGCGCTCTCACACCTAGTCATCAAGTGGATTCTGCATCCCAGTGATCCTATAGGGCAGGGTAGAACTGCTCCATAGGGTTTCTGAAATTGTAAAACTTAAGGGAGCAGGCAGCCTCAGCTTTCTCCCTCATAGCACCTGGTAGGTTCAAACTGCCAACTTTTCAGTTAGGAGCCCAACACTTAACCCACTGTACCAACAGGGCTTCTTCAGGGCACTCCAGGGAGAAAAAAGTCCACTTTGCTTACCTCACACCAGTGGTTCCCAATTGGGGCGGTTATGCCTTCCAGGGGACATCTGGCAATGTCTAGAGAACTGCGAACATACTACCGACACATGATGCAGAAAGGCCAAGGATGCTGTTAAATATTCTACAATACACAGGAAAGAATGAGCTGTTCCAAATGTTAACTGTGCCTACATTGAGAAATCCAATCCTATAATGATAAGTATCACTGTGTGTTAGAATTGTTAGGGTATGTGTCTACCTTCCTCACTAGACAGAAAGCTGCTTGAGGGAAGGGGCTATGGAAGATAAATCTGTGTACCTATTATCGGGCCTGGCACGAAAGGGGTAGGGTTGAGCTGTGTTGAATCATTTAACCCTCAAAAACAAAGAACAAACAAATCTGTGTTGGAAGAAGTACAGCCAGATGTTCCTTGGTAGCCAGGATGGCAAGACTTTGTCTCTCATACTTTGGACATACTATCAGGAAGTACCCGTCACTGGAGAAAGACATTCTGCTTGGTAAAGTAGAGGGTTAGCAAAAAAAGAGGAAGCAGGTTTGCATGGGCTAAGTGGGACAGAGGTAAAGAATGATGTATGCACAACCTTGGAACAACAGGGCTTTGGGATACAGGGATTGAGACATGGTTTGAATGGGTAAAAGAGGAGAAATAATGTTAAGATGCTTGGCTATCTTTTGAATCCCCTGCCTACCATTGTAAAATAGACACTTGAGGGGGAGAGAAAGGAACAGCCGGAAACATCACCATAAAAAGCGTGTAAGTCCGTCTTCAGCCTATAACTAACTGATTGGAATACCTTAAAGGGGGCTAGAAGTTGCCCAGGGAAAGAGGCTTGCTGCAGAGCCTTTGCACTGCCTAAGGACCATATGTGAAATCTTGAACTCCATCCAGAATCTTCTGAGGTGGGAAATTTCCTCTTGAAAGGACAAGCAGACCAGTCTGGAGTGGCTCAAAGAACAGAAGATACTTCTTGAAAGAAAGACCAGCAGGAAAAATCAAAAACAGTAACAGCAGTCCAACTGACTACGACAAGAACAAGCAAGCTGTTGACCTGGGAGCCATCAAGGCAAGTGGGCAGGTCCCCTCAGAGCAAACCCCCTTCCAAGACTAAGACTCAAGGGGAATACACGAGCAGGCACATGGTCTGGCTGGTGACCACATTGGTCACCGATAAGGGGAAGTGAGGGAAAACATCAATGAAGTTGTGAGCTAAGTCCAACCATGTTTAATAGACTCCTATGAACTTGGGTTGAGAACTGGTTGGCCAGCAGTATGGCAAGACCTGGGGACTCCTGGACCCAGGGACAGGGATATGGCCACAGAGGACTAGAGTAGAGAGTGAGGCATCCAGCTGATATGAAGTGAGGGGAGATGTACAAGAACACCCATACTTGCAGATAGTACCCACTTGACCTGGCTTCAATGGCTGAGTGATCAGAACTCAACTAGAAGACAGAAGAGGAAAAAAAAGAGAGTAATCCGCTACAGTTTGATGAACTTGACCTATACTTATGGATGTAGTAGCTCAAAAGAGGGAACAAATCTTTACAGCGAGGGTCATTCCCACCCCATCAGTACAGAGGGTTGACAGGGATGGGCAACATAGACATTGGCTACCCAAAATGGGGGGGGGGGCCCTACAAAAGCAAGAAGTGACTGGCTTACAAGCGTTCATGAGGGAGCCTAGTTCCAGAGGGTATCGGGGGAAGGTAGAATCTACACTGAATGGTTTCCAATCTTTCAGACGGGGCTGATGAAAGGAGATGATGATAAGACTCTTGTCATACAATAGTGAATAATTGCTATCAGGACTGACTATGAGGATCGGAAATGTAAAGGCAGATGTTTTGTAACAAAAGGAGGAGAGTGGTTGATTTTGCAGTCCAGGAACAGAGGACCCTGGGACCATCAAGTGGTAAAAGCGGAGTGCGGGACCATATCCAGAGAAGCAGTGACGCCAGAGATGGAGGCAGAGACAATGACGTGGACAGATGCAGCAGCTGGGGACTCTAGACCCAGAGAGGGAGGGGGCTGTGTGCTGATGACCGGGGGGGGGCAGGCTTGTGGGGTGTACCCTTTGATTGGTTGATGATGCATGGAGGGGATTGTAATCATTGCAATGAACAAAATAAGATAGGATGAATGTAAAGCTAATGTTCTCCCATGTAAACTATCACATAATTCACAATAAAAACTTTAAAAAAAAAAGAGGAAGACCCCAATAAGATGAATTGACACCGTGGTAGCAGAAATGGGATCAAATGTAACAATTGTGAGGATGGCACAGGACCAGGCAGTGTTTCATTGTGTTGTGCACACAGTTGTTGAGTCAGAACCAACCGGACGGCACCTAACAATAGCTCACAGAAGTTGAGAAGCATATAAAAAGTCATATGCACTGGGTGGTACTCAAGGACTTAGGAGGTGGTGATCAAACTGAAGTCAAGCCAACAATAAGGAGGAGATTTTCATGGACAGGTAGGGCCTGAAACTGAAATATCCAACCCCCGGGGACACCACACACCAACCACTGGGGAATATTCATACACACAGCTCACCTTTCTTCATCACTTCCCACAGTCAGAATTCCAGAGATGACTCTGGCCTAATCCCTCCATTTTTGGATGATGTGTCCAAGGTTCAGAAAGGGACAGAAACTACCCCAGGGGTGTCTGGCACATTCGTGTTGGAACTAGAACATGGATCTAGGAGTCTTGCCTTCAGGGCATTGCCTGTATACATGGTCACCCTGCTGTTGTTCAGTGTTAGCGAGTTGGTTCCAACTCATAGCCTCTCTGTATAGGGTTTCCGAGGAGTGGCTGGTGTGTTTGAACTGCTGACCTTGTACTTATCAGTCCAGTGCTTATTTTATAGCACCATACTAGGACCCCAGGTCACCCAACTGACATGTAAAAATATACTTCTCACAGAAAATACTGCAAACATTCTTTCCCACTGCTTTGATTCACTGCTCCCAAACCTGTTTCACTTGCAGCCCTCTCAGGTGGAGACTACTTTCTCTCTCATGCCCCTAGTTACAAATCCTTGACCTCTAAATTTTCATACTTCCTTCCTTTCTGATTGTTTTGTCCTCCACCACCTGCCTGTGCCATCGGTGCCCATGGTCATAGCACCAGACCTAGTTGTTGCTGGTGGTTCTTCTTTTTTCCAACTTCTAAATACTGCAAGCCCCAGGCTCAGACAATGGTTCCCGTTTCTTCTTGACTTACATCTACTCCACCTGCTCTTGGAGATCATATCCAGTCTCCAATCTAATGGTTTCAAATGTTGATGACTTCCAAATATACTGATGACTTTCAAATCTGTGCCTCCTGCCCAAAATGTTCCCCTAAACTCCATATTCGTGGCACTACAGGATCCACATTGGACTACTAACTACAAGGTTGGTGGTTCAATCCCATCAGCCATTCCTTGCAAACCCTATGCAGGGTAGCTATGCGTTGGAATTGACTCAATAGCACTTAACAACAAGCCAATAGAGCTGCTCTTGAAAGTTGGCCCTAAAACCAGTTCGTCTAGCAATCTTCTCCATCTCAATTGATGGTTGCTTCATCTTGCTCATTGTTCAAGCCTAAATCCTTAAAAACAGCCTCCTATTATTCTCTCTTAAGGAGCTCTGGTAGCGTAGTGGTTACGAATCGGGCTGCGAACCTTAAGGTCAGAGGTTCGAAACTACCAGCCGCTCCGCGGGAGAAAGATGAGGCTTTCTACTCCCGTAAAGATTTACACCCTCGGAAACCCTGTACAGGGTCGCTATGGGTCGGACCCGACTCAAAGGCAATTAACAACAACAACATTGTTCTCTCTTAGGGACAACATTGTGGAGAATGAGTATCCCAGACACTTAATTGTGCTCATGATCAAACACAGAACAAAGGGACAGTGAATGGTTTACAATCAGGAAAGGCACACGCCAGGGTTGTATTCTTTCACCACACTTTTTCATCCTGTATGCTCAGCACATAATTCAAGAAGCTGGATTAAATGAAGAATGTGGTATCAGGATTGGAGGAAGATTTATTAACAACCTGCAATATGCAAATGATAAACTCTTGCTTGCTGAGAGTGAAGAGGACTTAAAATACTTACTGGTGAAGAACAAAGACCACAGCCTTCGGTATGGGTTACATCTCAATGTAAAGAAAACAAAAATCCTCACCAATGGACCAATAAATAAGATCATGATAAATGGAGAAAGGATTGAAGTTATCAAAGACTTCATTTTGCTCGGCTCCACAACCAACACTCAGGAAAGCAGCAGTCAAGAAAACAAAAGACATATTGCATTAGGAAAATCTGCTGCACAAGACCTCTCTAAGGTATTCAAGAGCAAAGAAGTCAGCTTGAGAACAAAGGTGTACCTGACCCAATCCATGGTATTTTCAAATAGCCTCATGTGCAAGTGAAAGTTGAACAATGAATAAGGAAGACCTTAGAATAATAGATGCATTTGAGTTATAGTGTTGGAGGAGAATATCAAAAGTACTATGGACTGCATGGGGTCGCTATGAGTCGGTTCCGACTCGATGGCACCTGACAACAACAACAACAATGGGATGCTAGAAGAACCAACCAGTCTGTTGGGAGAAGTACAGCCAGAGTGGTCCTTAGAAGCCAGGATGGCCAGACTTTCTCTCTCATAGTTCAGATATATTATCAGCAGGGACCAGTCCCTGGATAAGGACATCATGATTGAGGGTCAGTAAAAAGTGGTAGGTTTAATCTGCAGATCACTGCAGTCCAGTGCTTAGTCTACCTCACCACTATAATGTTGTTAAATGCTGTGTAGTCCATTTCAACTCACAGCAACCCTGTATAGGGTTCCTGAGGCTTTCCAGGTTTTTTTGTGGGAGCAGAAAGCCTCATCATTCCCAGTGGGTGTGCTGGTGGCCTTGTGGTTCACAGTCCAGTGCTTATCTTATGGAGTCACTGAAATAGCTACAGCTAAATATTTTAAGTCCATGAACTCACAGTATGCAAAAAACTGTATCTTTGGTCACCTTTGGTGGGTACTTGGAAACCAAGTCACTTTTTTTAAATTGGTAAGTAAAAGGAAAGAATCAAACATTTTATCTATGCTTCCTACACAATCTACAACCAGATGGTTGTTACTTGTTCTAAGAATATTCTAGTTAATCAAGAAAGAACAACAGAATTAGAATATTCTTATTTCGCAATCCTTAGTGAGCTGATGATGCAACCAATGGCTGCTAGCATCACAAAGAGACAACGGGAATTTGTGCCCAGGTCTGTCTTATGAGAGAGTCCATACATATCACTTCCTGCTTCCACTCAAATTAAACCAGCTCTGCTTGGATTGCACCAAATAAAACAATAAGAAGCATGACTGCCAGTCGGCGAAGGAAAAGTATCCTGAGGCTGAGGCTCAAGTATCAGAGGCAGAGGAGAAGAATGTGAGATTCCATGATAAATCTGATGTGGTCCGGATCTCCAGGAGTTTATACAGAGGTAGAGAGAGGAAATTTGGACGCAAGCATTTACCATCAAGGATCTAAGGGGCAGCCTGATTGACAATGGTCTGGGTCCCAGTAACCCCCTTTGCTAGATAAAGTATCATCAGAAGGAGATACAAGATCTTGTATCTCTGTGCTGCAAAGACCAGAGTGGTAGCAAGGAAACAGCATCAGGAAGTGGCCAAGTCTGCATTGGAACTCTGGCTCCCCTATCGAATGATTGTCTGGCCTAGAGAAACTTGAGCATTGAATCTTGTTTTTGTTAAACTTTTTACTGTGAATTGGGTGAAGGTTTACAGACACGATCATCAGCTTTACATTCAGTAAATTATATCCTTTGTTTCATCTCAATGATTCCAATCTCCTCCCTGCAACAATACTTATCCTACTTCCTCCTTGTGGTTCCCCATTTACATCTTATATTTCACAAATGAACAAGGCAAAAATATTTCATGTAAACTACAAAACACAAAATAATATATTCACTTAAATGTCCAAGGGGCATTCTGCCAACCAGCCTCCTGCCCACAGGCACACACACAGCGTTTCTCAGTCCATGGGCCTAGAGCTTGCAACTGTTGAGCATTGAATCTTATCTATAAAATGGAAATAACAATCTTCACCTCCCAGAGCTATTGGGAGAATGAGCTAAGTGACATAGACTCTGAAGGAGCCCTGGTGGCACAGTGATTAAGCACTAGGCTGTAAACTGACAAGTGGATGGTTCTACAAGCTCCTCGGTAGGAGAAAGATATGGCAGTCTGTTTCTGTACAGATTACAGCTTGTGAAACCCTATGGAATAGTCCTGCTCTATCCTATAGGGGTCCTGGAGTACTGCTGCAGGATAATGTACTGAATCACAAGGTCAATTTGAATCACAGGTCAGCGGTTCAAACCCAGCAGCTGCTCCTTGGAAACCGACTCAATAGCACTTAACAACAAAACAACAATCCTATAGGGGTAGTAGAGTGACTTACACATTGGGCTGCTAACCACCAGGTCAGCAGTTCAAATCCACCAGTTGCTCTACAGGAGAGAGGAGGCTTTCTGCTCCCGTAAAGATTCATAGCCTCAGAAACCCTACACAGGGCTGCTGAGTGGGAACCAACGGCACGACACCCCACCACCATCACCATCTTACACGGGTGTTATGAATTGGAACTGACTTGATGGCAGTGAGTGGGTCTGTTTGTTGAGGGGGGTTTGTGTCAGCACCCCACCTCCCTAAGTCCCCCATCATCTCACACCACCTCCTTCTCTACACACACATCCCATAATCTAGGCACATGAATGTCAAGTGTGCAGAAGGAGGGAGAGCCGCAGGTGTTGGGTCCGTACCGTATCAAGTGTGCTGCCCTTGTCCAGGCAGACTGCAATCAGGTAAATGGAGGCTCTGAAGACCACTGGTGGAGGGTGCTCCCCCTGGTTCTGCAGAGACAGGAGGAAGCTTTGCACGGCCACAAGCAATTCTGCCTCGGAAACAAACCTGTGGACCAAGGAGAGCCTGGGTGAGGGTGGCAGAGATGCCAGGCCAGCGTCGGCCTTGCTGTATCCTCTCCCAGCCCATCATCTCAGTGTATGCACAACCTGATGACACCTTCACAAAGAGGGTGCTGATTGCAAAGCATTGTCTCCCACACACATCACATTGTTCTAAGCTTTGTGCAAGGCTCTGGTAGGGCCAGTGACTCCTCACACACGCTGGGAGGTGAGGCATCTATCCGCCACATTAGAATGGTTACAAGGCTCAAGAAACCAGCCCACTTCTCTCTTTTTGCATCTCTTATCCATAACCATGGAAGCAGTCATCAAGAAATCAAACAACGTATTGCATTAGGCAAATCTGCTGCACAAGACCTGTTTGTTGAAGAGCAAAATGTCAGTTTGAGGACTAAAGTGTGCCTGACCCAAACCATGGTATTTTCAATAACCTCACATGCATGTGACAGCTGGACAGTGAATAAGGAAGAGCTAAGGAGCTCTGGTGGAGCTCTGGTAGCGTAGTGGTTACGAATCGGGCTGTGAACCTTAAGGTCAGC